TCTCCAGCATGTTCTCTCCTGGGAACGCCTTGGTATTCCTGCAGGAGATGGCTGAGGAGAGGGAGGTCTGGGCATCCCTGCTCAGACTGCTGCCCCCGCAACCTGGCTCCAGATAAGCAGTAGAAAATGGATGGATGGATGGACGGACAGACGGACCAACCTAGAGTCTTCCTGTATTATGCAGATTTCCTTGCACAGTCCAACAACATGCAAATCAGCAAACTAGCATCTCAAAATTGCCTGTATTTGCCCATAGGGATTGTGCATGAGCATCTGAGTACCCTGTGATGAACAGTGTACCACTGTGCTTCCAGGGATAGGCTCAGGGCTGCTGCTGACCTTGTAGACTTGGTTACTAAAGGGTGAATCCATGTGAAAAATAACATATTTTCAAGTTTCAATGGTTATTCCCCACATCTGACATTTCTCTATCGACTATTTAGTCCTTCTGTATTTGTATTTCAAGGTTGTTAGGGCTGCTTAGGATTGGTGCCTTTTGTTAAAAAATGGAAAACCTTCTAGGCTACTAACCCTAAGGCTGCTTCTAAAACTGCGACGGCGACACAATGACTGAGGTCCTCCAGAGCCACGGCGGAGCTCCTCCTCGGTGCTCTGCGCCTCTCTCTCAAACTCTGCACAGCCAAAAAACAAGTGAAAGCGGCAAGCCGTCCGCTTTTCCATTTGAAAGCTTGTTAGCTTTTTAATTAACTGGAGGAGAGGTGCCCTTGGGCTTGCTTTTCCAGCAACGGTAAATGAAAGCCGATGACGTGGACTGACCGCCTCTGAGGCGGCACCGACTCAACCCGCGGGTTCGGCCGCGAGCCTTTTTATGGCAGACGAACGTCCTCAAGCACCACACGCTAACCACCGGGTATGTCACCGCTTGAAGTGACATCACGGTAATAATGTCCTCCTTCATGGCATGAAGACAGCACGCATTCATGTTCAATTACACGTATCACACGTGTCTCGATTTTTTATAGTACGACTAAAGAGTAGCGAACGACATGTTAACAAATTTAATTAACTTTTAGTCCGCGTGACTGCTTTGGCTCCGGTTTGGCTCGTTTACACATCATAAATTGAGTTATTAGTGCAGCACAGCTAACATACTTATTGTTGACAGGGAATGAGATTGGAACAACAGATTGTGGATGAGCTTATAAGTATCAGTTCTTCCAGTGGCAAGGAGATAATTCATAACAGGCCACCCTCCCCCGCCTGTGGATCATGCAAATCGGATTGAATCGTATCCCCCGGCAACTCAGCAGTAAGCACTCACTGAGCCTCCTGCCGATGTTTCTCCTCCTATTCATTTCATATTTACTCATTTATCCTTCTAGGGCTGACGGTGAGGAACCAGTAGACTTATCCTGCATGCGGCAACAAAGAACCATTAGAATGATAGGCCTTCCGTACAGATCTGTGTCTACAAGCAAGTCTAACACAAAGTTGACCTCATCTAGCAGGGGAAGCCCTATTTAATCAGAGCGCAGAATTTCTAATTCTGCTATGGGAGAGAAAACACTGAAATAAAAAGCTATAATACTGCATCTCACAGAAAAAAAGAACAGGGAAAACTAAATACATTTTCTCAGGATGACCTGAGCGTACTTGTTCCATCAGAAGGCTGAGTTAATGAAACACGGTGTCCCACCAACCTGAGGAGTCATCATATGGAATTTCACGCTTGGCAACATGCCATCCAAGATAACAGGGCCAGAAACCACAGGAGACGTGTCATGAACACTTGATTGGTTTTATATGCCACAGTCCTTCCTAAAAGAAGACCTCGGCCAAATGGACACATTTTTGTGTCCATTTGTAGTAATTTCTTGTGGAAGGAATTGCACCAAAAGTGCTGCAAAACAGCAATCAATCCTTGTTGACTTAATCATAACACTGTATCCATCCTTTGATTAGCATGGTAAAGTGCCTCCACACCCTTACAAACAACGGAGAACCTTATTGGCTTTGGATGGCATGATCGCTCAGCAGGTAGCATTGTGACCTCACATCTCTACAGTGTTCAGGGTTCCATTTGTGCCCCATGTCTTTGTGCGGGTAATCTGCCTGCTCTCCTCATGTCTACACAGGTCACCTCTCTCTTTCCAGAAACATGTACCAACATGAGTGTGCCACTCTCATTCTGTACTGGAACATGGATGCACATGCTCCAGTGATGTAAAGCTAATTTTGGAGGATCTGTTAGTCAAAGATCTGCGCTTAAGGGCACCAGTGTATATTCCATAACAGGAAACTGGCTCGTTGTCCCCATAATTGAAGCACATGACCGGATAAATGTTCCTTTAAAACATCTGGGCAAAAGTGCACCCGGAGGAAACAAGCTTAAAATTCGATTTCCAAAGTCATGGCAGGCTGTGCTGGGATTTCCCCAGTCACAACCTAATGTTTGCATCCAGTTTGTGACAGCTGGATCCAATCTGCATAATGAGAGTGATGAACATAAACTGAAGCAATGGAGAGTCAAGAGGCAGGTCCGACTGATGTTGTTTACATTGAGCAATTGTTACTTTCCTGTGTAGTTTGAACTATTTCTAGTCTTTGTACCCAATTTTATTAATGAGAAAAGCCCGGCTACTTCACTGAGGAGCTGGACTTAGTTTCAGGTCTATTGATCTAGTCTTTGTGCAGTCACTGCACTGGACCATAGAGGCTCAGCTGTTACACAGTTTGTGGGATACAAATATAAATGCTTTGAACATCTCCGTCTATGTTCTTTATGAATGCGTTATGAAGGTTCATTGAATGTTCTATGAATGCATTATAAATGCATTATTATGGTTCACTAAATGTACTATGAATGCTTTATGAATGCATTATGAAGGTGGAGTTAATGTAAAGCATTACCCATTGTTTAAACAAGAGTTTCCAGAGTGGTTAGTCAACTTAATTTGTGCCTCTCCTGGGTGCTTTCCCATTAGGCTGTAATGGAAGTCATTCAGTATTTATTCATTATAACTTGAGGGTTCAGAGAGTGAATCTAGTCATGCTAATATCCACCAGCTCAGAGACACAGTGCCTTTGGGGAAAAGAACGGTAATTGCACAATCAAACCGGAATTAAAATGCAGGATTAATTAAAGATACACGGATGTTTTAAGAGTATTTGGATTTTCCGATCTGTGACGGCCCTGGATTACTGTTTTGGTTCATTAAGTGAGAAAATGTTTTGTGTAATGGATGCAGTTGCCTGTAGACATTGAATGACAATTCAGGGTGTTTTCTGTTACATATGTACGGGCGTAATTTAGCCCTGCGAGTTCAAAATGCCCTGAGGTTGTGCCCCTGGGGACAAAATACTCTCCCCTTCCTCTCCGAACTTCCCAAGAACTTTACCCAAATAGTATCCATAAGTATTAGTCAAAATAATGTTTATTTGGGTCAGGCTAATATACTGTATCACTACACCTTTTCCACTTCATTATGCATTTTGTACGTTTAGAAATGTGTCTCTGCAGTCTGAAGTGCAGGTTAAAAGCTGCTAAGTCTGACATGGCAGATGCACCTGTGTTTGATTCATTATGCGTCTTGCCACTTCTCTCACATTGTGAGATCTCTCCATAGAGCTCCATTCATCCTGCCTCTGAATTCATTCATCCTGATTTGCTATTGCATCCCTCTTGCCAGTGAAGCAAATCAGACAACTCTCTGGCAGTCTTTAGTTTTTCACGGCCTTTACCTCTGGTTCACAGTTACCTTTCTGCTCTCTCACAGACGGTTTTTAAACTTTTGTGTTTGTAACTGACTGCAGGGCCATTTTGAGGTCTCTAATTCCCTCTTGGTGAATTCTCTCTCCACCTTCAAAAAAACACCCTAAGACCCATCTGTTCCAGAAATTCCTCATCTAGCCTGAAGCCTCTCTATGTTCCCTGAATGTCCTTAATGTTGCGCTTCTGGTCACTGAATAGTCTTATTAGGTTCTTGTTTTGTTGCATGATGTTGTGTAGCTCTTGCTCCAATACTGCTTACACCTGTACCTGGGTATTCTTTGGAAGGTCAACCTAGTCACACTTATGCTGAGTTGACTCCTAGACAGCAGGTATGTTTGTTGTGAGCCATTTCCCTGACTTTCACGGCACTTTAGACAAAGTGTCAGCTAAATATTGTAAATGTAAATGGTCAGATATTGCAAATCAGTAACACACACACAGGATCCACTGTCTCTGCTCATCACTGGATTCCTCGCTTAAGAAGCTGGTTAAACACCGGGCTAGGTGAACAAACAGGGCATTAAAAAGAAGTCAATCACCCTCTGTGGGGCTCATTAGCATAAAAATGCCTTTCGAAGTCGCTCTCGGACCAGATCCGCAGCAGCTGTCGCGTAGCTCTGCGATTTTGACGGGAAGCTGACGTCTCCTCCCCCACTGCCGCTGCCTGCGTTCTGTCTTAAGGGCTGCTGACGCCGTGCTTTTCAAGAGTCTGTCCTCCCAAAAAGCATCTCATCAGTCACCTCCTTCATTAGCGCTGGTCTGTGACATGGGTCACGGGCACGGGAACCCCAAGCAGGCGACATCAGAGGGCACCAAATGCGGCGGCTCCAACTTCCCGCGTAACGAAAGCAAATAAATAACATTTTAAATATTTAAAATGGGCACACAGCTGTTCCTCCCAATTACGGCTTGTGGAAGAGCAGAAATTGGACAGTCAAAGTGATGATGCAAGCAACCAAAAATAGAGTATTTCTAACAGGCCTCAAAACACAAATAAACCAGGGGTGGGGAACCATTAACTCACTTATGCAGGATTTTTTTTTATTGTTTCTAATAACACTTGATTGTCAGCTGGAGCATCAATTAAAGTTATTATTATTTTTTAAAATACCCAGAATACTGACAATTATGAAATGATGAAAAGCAGCACATCACAGGTCCCCATCTGATTGGTTATTCCCGGTTTTGTCCCATTTTCCCCTGCCCTCCCCATGGCTTCCGCTCCTTCCCTAACTGGAGGCTTCTCCTCCCGCTCTCCCCTTTGCAGATGGCACGTCTATGCTGTGCATTTCCTCGGTACGGGAGCTGCCAGCCCAGATGCTCGACCTGTACCAGCAGGGCTTCGTCTTGGCAGCAGTGCACCCCTTCATCCACCCGTGTGGCACCAAGCCAGGCAGCGAGCAGAGGCTGTTATACCGGGCGGTCCTGATCCGGCTCTCCGACAGGTGAGAGTGGGGGCTGCCAACACCGATCCTCACGCATCACGCTCCTGTCGAGTATATATTTCGACTAGCGGCACTTTGACGATTGGGTCAGCTTTCTCGATATTCAAGTAATTTTATTAATGAAGCAAAAAAGACCTACAATCAATGAACCAAACACAAACCCTTCAGCTTCAGAGAAGGCAGAGGTCGGCCCCCTTTGCCTTAATGACATCATTCATCATGCCTCTTTAATGTCAACTTGAAAAATGATCCAGATCTTGATCTAAGCCTTAAATATTAAAGCATGTCTTTAATCTTGCCTTGTATTTGTGTTCACTCACACATGCCCGCTTCTAGGCTGCGGTGGCTATAATTTTAGTTTCGATTGTGGCGGCCCAAAAATTGTGTTGGCCAGAGAGACAAATTATTTGATACTGACACTGTACTTTAAAAAGAGGCTGTTTAGAAAATCTGCTATTAGTGAATTCCGGTATCTACCAACTCCATTTACTTGCTGTGCCAGGTATTTTGACCAGGACAGTCAGCTGGGTAAACTTTTGATAGCTTTTTGGTAATTAGGTCAACATGCAGCGTGTGCTTAAACGGGAATGTCTCATGGATTCCATCCTCGGAGGTGAATCGGGAGAGACACCTCTGTTGAGCTGTAGTGCAGAGGAGAGCACTCCTGGTGAGCGGCAGACAGGGTACCCCTCCGCCGTCGTGAGTCTCCCACTTAGCATTTCTTATGGCCCCCCCAAACGAGCGCGTGACTGCCGCAGACGAGACGTGGGGAGCGGGCCCTCCTCTCAGGCTCTGTGGCACCCCAGGTAGCTGCATTCCAGCCGAGACTCCAGATATATTTTGAACACCCCCCCCCCCCCATTGATTTTATAGTCTGGGAATTCACTGTGGATTCCACACAAATGAATCCGTAATATGAAGTGATCAAGGCTGAATTCCACAGACAAGCTATGAAGTAGCATGGTGAAATTTTAATTGTTTTTCCAGTTTTTTGCTAACTGTAATCTTGGGACTGCTTATCCTAGTCAGGGTGACGGTTTGGCGGGGGGGGGGAACACTTACAGCCGCATAGGGCACAAGGCTGGGGTAATCTCTAGAGGGGATGCAAACAAGCTGAGGTGATATGAAACATACAGCTTATCTTCACCCCAGGAGGGGCTTGGAGTGGCTATAGAAAGCAATGGGAAAGGCAGCCTTTGATTAGGATGGTAAAGTTCTCGCTGTGGAGGTGATGAAGAGAAAGTAACCATAGATCACAACGAAAGGGGAAGAGAGACGGAACAGAGGAAGCTAATTCTTTGATGTCCCCCCCCACACACATCTCAGCGCGTTGCCCCCATGAACGAGCGCTCACATCAGTGTCGGCCCTGGGGATAGGACCAGAAATGAAAGAGCATGCAGTTTCTTTCTAAGTGGCCTAAAAACTGAGAACAAGGGAGTAGCTTGAGATGAAGGCAGATCGCTGGCTGTTTGCCCATCATTCACAACAACAGGCCTCCAAACTCTCCCCCCGGTGCAGCTGAAAAACAGGGACGGAAAGGAAGAGCAGTATGTCAGCGGCTGCTCATTGTGGATCATGAGATACCAACTGGGATCACTGCATAACATCACAGAGTCGTGCCTCCAAAACTCTTACAAACGCATTTGTCCAAAAACAAGTCACCTGCGTATATTCTGTGATATTATTCTGAAATGAAGTTGCTTTGCTGATGCTTTCAGATGTCAGACTCGTGTCGTGGGTTGATTGCTTCAACTTCCAAAGCCAGAAATAGAGAAATTGTGATAAGATAATTATCAGAACTAAGGTTTAGGCAGGCATGGCACCGAAGCTAGCCAACTGGGTAGCAGTCCGACTTGCAGTCTGACATGCAATTTACTAGCTAGCATGCTAGTGTTCAGTTTCTTGTGTTTGCCCTTTGTCTAAAGAACTCGCCTCTGGCGAGTGGGCAAGCTTAATTTCCATGATGAAATTGGGTTATGGGTTTAACTTAACTAGCACACTAGCTCTAACAACTAGGAAAGTCACAAGATGAAATTCGCTCATGCCACTTTTCTCAGTTTATATCGAGAACCCGCCGCGACAGCTGAAACACTTTCATGGCTGTGCAGCGTGAGAAGAAGGGAGAGGAGCTCTATATGAAGAAGCGTAAAATCCCAGGTCTGGGTGAGGGTGCAATTACTGTAGGGACTACAGGCAGAGTCGTGGATACGCAGGGTGGAGGCAAGGTCTCCGGGCCTTTTGTCAACAGGATGGGAGAGGGGATAACGGGAAGTAAAGGCATCGGCACTCACAGGAACACCAGCCGAATTCCGTCTGCTAAAAACATAGCTTTCCTAAAAATACAGACGCCTCACATGCAGACAGACATCAAAGCGAGCCAGGATATCTAACCACTGCAGGTTGTCAGTTAAAGCATTTATGGACAGATTTTTGTTTTACGTAATCAAAATTACATTAGAAGCATTCTATTTATTTATGGTTTTATTATCCATAGCAGATCATAACACTTGCAACGTGTCAGAATCAGATTTTAATTGTCTGTGCCTGACACTCTTAATATGTAATTTGTTGCGACGTGATGAATGTACCTTGACCCTGATCTGGCTGTATGACTGAGACAGAGACAGAGACTGAGCACATTACTACCGTAAGTGTGCCGTCACGTGACACTGCGATGACGCCGCCATTCTCTCTTCTCTCCAGTGGGGAGAAGCCAGAGACGAAGTATGACAATGGCCTGGAGATGGAGACATGCCTGTCAGCCGACCAGGCCCCCAACGCCGAGCTGATACAGGGGTATCTGAAAAAGGTGAGACGCCAGCCAGCTCTCTGACGTTCCTCCTGCTGCTCTGCTTAAGGCTAATTGCGTGTCCAATGGCACATTGTACCTCAATTTCCAGGTAAGAAAAAAAGAATAATTTGGAACTGAGATGAAAAGTCCACAGTGTCAAGTCTTGCATAGAATTTGACAGCTCGGTTCAACATGTTTTGACCCAGTTTTCTTTTACCTGCCTACCTGCCCTGAATATATAGAGTCAACTGTTGCTATGACTGCAATTTAAGATGATGGCAACATCTTCATATTACAGCTCCATAATTACCTAGCAACAACCACGTTGTAGCATGGAAAGCATAATCAGAAGTAATGGGGAAGTTAATTGTGAAAAAATAACAGAATTTAGCATGTTTAATTCTAGATATATTTGAAGTAGATTTTAAGCCTCAGCTTTTGTCTTTCATATCTTTTAATTATTGTACCTCTTGGGTTATCTCCTGTTTTGTGTTTTGCTTCTTCAAAGTGTCGAGCGAATCAGAGATGGAAAAAAATGACATTTGATGTCATCAAAATTTCACGTTGAAAGTCCCACGATGAACATTGACTGTTGGCACTGTGTTCTGTGTATATGTACTGCGAAGTACCATATTGTTCTAGAATGCTGATAAAAATAGGATTTATTGTTCACAAAGAATGGAATTAATAAAACAACAATCAGATGACATACATTCTCTAGCCTCATCATTCATTAAAGAAAGAAGCTTATAGGTTGCTCTTTAATTACTTGCCAATGTTTTAAATCAAAGCAGCATACAATTTCACATGCTTATAAAGCAAGATATTTTATTGGAGCAGTTCAAAACATTTACTGATGTGAACAACATCTTCCTAAAGACTGAAAATCCCCAAATGGGATTTGAATTAGTGACCTCTCGATTACATATCCCATCCAAAGAAGAATTATTGTATTCAAAGGTTTATTGTTACATGTACCGAGTACAGTGGTATTCTTACTTGCATATTGACTCATAACAGATGTACAGAGAACAGAAAATTTATAATAAACAACATCGAAAGCATAGTAACAATAGAGGAGACAGTACAGTACAATTAGTAGTTGGTGAATTAACCACCCTACATCCACCACGATACTGCAGGTTATTTGCAGTTTACTTTACCTAGATAAGTATGTGCCAACCAGGATATACTTGTTAAATGCTGCCTTTAGAACAAATAAGTAGTTAATAATGTATAAGTTCCTATACATGGACATAACTAGAAATTCTGAACCCCTTACAAAATATCACCTTGGGCCCAACGGTGCCAAGCAGGAGGGCTAGGTTCCCTGAATCTACCAGGGTATCTATCCATACCCCTCTAATGCCCCTGCCCCTATACTCCAAAAGAGTTGATTTTCGGTAATGTCTTTATTCATTTTAGTAAGCTTACATCATAACCAGAAGAAGTGGTCTGAAGATAATGATGATGACATTATAACCATATGTAGCTGTGTGAATGTGCTGTGAAGTATCAGTACAAGGCAAGATGCCATTAATGCAGTGGTTAAGCCCAGCTGTCCTCTGTTAATGCCCTCAGTATCAAGGTTTCCTTGAAATTGAAACTGATTTCTTTTTTTGAAGAAAAACAATGTGCTTTTCTAAGCCTTTATAAAGGTAACCGCTTAAACATTATTGTGAGAACCAAAGGCTTTCACTGAATTGTATGATGATTCACGTGGCTGATATAGTTGCCCCTTTTTCATAGACACATTTCCCCCGTTTATTTTATAGAAGTTAGGTATCACACTGGGCTGACTGTTTGTCCCCTTATTGTGTTTAGATCCAGGATTCCGCAGAACAAGGAATTACATTTGTGGGGTTCGTCCAGCAGCCCAGCAGGGCTTTTATAGTCCACGCCCATGATGACCCAGACGAAGTGTCTTTGTCCCTCCATTCAAGTCCCAGCTCAGTCCAAGGGGAAAAGCTCCACCAAAACCAGGAAAACAAAGAGCAGAATCTGTCCGAAGAGCAACACCATCAAGTCGAGATTGGAGCAAAGACCAGAGACATCACCTGTGAGTTTGTAGAGCTGGTCCTGGATGAGGCCAAGAGCCATAATGCGGATAGTGAGAGCGCTGAAGACAGAGTGGAAGGAGCCCCAGAGAGTCCAGCATCCTCTACTCTCAACACCGTCCGACGAGAAAACGATGAATTATCGGATGTCAGGAGCAATGACACGCTGAAGGACAACAACAATAAGGCAAAAGGCCAGAAAGCAACTAAGGAACATCAGAACTATCAAACATCCTTCAGAAATGGTAAGTCCAGTCAGAGACTGTACCACATTATACAGCTGGGGTTTCGTGCCTTTCTCACTGGGGTGTAGCCATTGAATTTCCATGGCAGGCTCGCTCATAGAAGGCCGCTCCCATTCAAAGACACGTCACTGACCAACCAGTTAGCTTTAGATAAGCTTTTTTTTTCACAATAGTTAGAGCTGTGGTTGCATAGGCAGAACAATAGTGCATTATACAGCACAACGGAGCCAATGATTTGAATAAATGTTCCTTGATATCTAGGTAATTGTTGCCGGCAAACTTAATGCTGATTGGTCCTTTTCCATTCAGAACATGTATCTGGTCTTGGAATGAAATGCACCCTAACATTAGTCTTGCTCCATCTGAGTAAGTCTCTCTCTGCCTTCAAAAAAATAAACTGAATTTGAATTGCCTAGAGTCAGTATCTGTTTATATGAGCGTTGATCTTAGCTTTAGATTTAATGTAATTAATACTTAAGCATGATTCTAACTCCAGGGGGAGCGAGTTGCACCTGCTTTTTGATGAGCCTAGGTCCATGGTCTCTTGAGTAACTTTAAAGAGGAGGCACAGGATTGACAGAATGTGGTCAAACGCTATGGTGGGATCAGCAGAGTCATACATTTTGAGTCCTACTTCCCTGAGTGATTCTCAAGTCGAGGGATGGAGTGAACCTGCCTTCTAAAACTTCACAAGAGCAATGGCATCATCAGGGTGGGAGAATGTGCTGTAGTTGCACTTTTAATAGCATAACAAATGATGTAAGGAAGGGAAATATCAGCTTAGCAGCAGTTTTTCAATCATGCTTTGTGTTTTACCCCTCTGCCCTTGTATGTCATTTAGTTACTGTTCCAGAAAAAATGGAAGAAAATGAGAGATATCAAGAAAAATGCATCAGTGAGCATAATTTTGGGCACCCAAATGTGTAGTGGTTTGTTTGTTATTTATATATTTATATGTATATTTGTACTGATATTCAACAGCAACAAAGAATGCTTTGTTACCTACACCAGAATAAGCTATAAGCTCAATTTCGCCTGTGTCCTAAATTATTTCTGGTGAGGAAATTGAACTTATCTAAGTGTTTTTTTTTTTTAAACCAAAAGTAGGAGAGCTGCAGTGGACCTCAGTAACCTGAATGAATTTTTAAATAAAGCAAGTTCTGTATTTGTTCATTACACCTCATCCGTTTGTATTTGATCACAACCGGATGATAGAAATCTGTGAATTTTGTTTTGGTGCATAGCAACACTCAGTGTGTTAAACTGGGTAATCTTGGTGCCAAGTCGCTGACTAAAATACACCCGAAGCCAGCAAGCCATTATCATTCTAGCAAAGTAGAGCATTTCCTCCGTTAATCTGAGGCACACAATGGCCAAACTGTTGGGTCGGCATGAGAATGTTCATGTCACCAAGGTTCTGAGGCAATAAATGTCTGGAGACCTCACTGCTATTAGGTTTATTTTTGGCTTTAAGTTAATAGCACCTGCCTGAGAGAACCCAAGGAGGAAATTCATAGTGGGGAATGTGCATCCTGCTGACAATTCATACGATACCGTGTTACAAAGTACTTTTCTTTCTGCTGAGTGTGTCATTGTAATATATTTGAAAATGAAATAACCCCGACTCAGACAGCCCAGACAATTTTCAAACCCTTATTTTTATTTACAATTTATTGTGGGGTATCAATTAACATTATATGAATACTGTATTATTGAAACAGCACTGTTCTTAGAATAAAAAGGAAAACGGCACCAAAGCAATTATTTTCTAAGAGGAATGCGAAAGGAGAAATCGGAAACAAGACGGATCTGCTCGCTTGTGTTCGCACAACTGCCAATTAGCACCGGGACACAAGGCGTTTCTCTTCGATGTTTGTTTTCAAAAGCATGATTGATCTACAGTATCATTTAGGTTGTATGAGGGGGAGTCTGTTGTGTGATGATTCAGACAGCATTTTGACCATTGTGGAAGTGAATTTCTAAAAGTGCTAGGAAACTTCTTGGGAGTTTAATGGCTCTGTGCTCAATAACCTCTCCTTTGACGGTGACTTATCGATCACTTCTGTCCGATACATCAACCTACACAAGGCCACATATTGCATTAACACGCCTCATTTCCAAGAAATTTTAATCAGAAGCAAAGTACACCACATTTTCAGGGTACTGTCTATGGAAATCAAACTAAAAAAAATTAGAAGGAAAAAGGACAGGATAAAGATTTTTTTTTCCGATTCTAGGCTTTTGTTTGGGTGGCAGAGTGGCTCAGTGGGTTGTACCGTCCCCTCACACAGGTCTGACATCTGCCTCCACGCTGTGCTTGTTTGCACATTCTCCGCATGTCACGTGGGTTTCCTCTAGATGTTCTCACACTACAAAGACGTGGTTAAGCTAATTGGCTTCTCTAAATTGTCCATAGTGAGTGAGTGTTTACGTGTGAATGCCTTGCGATGATCTGGCTTCCCGTTACGGGTGTTCCCCTGCCATGTGGACGGGCTTCAGATCCCCCACCCTCCTAGCACTGTCCAGGATTAGCAGCTGGAAAATGGATGGATTGATGAGTATACAGTCGGTGGAGTTTTTTACATGACAGACCTGAAAACCAGCCCTCTCTGGGAGATCTTCTGAGCTGCGGAGTGATTTGATTTCCCCACCAAAAGTAGTTCCCATTTAAAAACTCATCTGTCTTGCTGATGAAAGTCAGAAGGGTGGATGGTGGGGAAATATCAAATGGGTTTGCAGCTTTTCCCTGAGGACACGTTATCAGATGTAACTGTTTGTGTGGGCTGTACTTAAGGACAAATTACTGTGAGCTGTGCAAGAAAACAGCAGGTCTACACACCCTCAAGGGTTCATCTTTGCCTTTTACAGAAAATGATTTTTTTTTCTGATATGGTAAAATATTTCATAAACAGACAGTAGTAATAGCTAGTTTTCTTTCTTAATTTTAAAACACTTTATGAAACCAATTTGATATGCACATTACAAGTATGCTGTCATGTTATTTTATTGTGTCATTGGGTGCAATTCTTTCCCAGGGCATGTAATGCAAATGAATCACCTTGGTAAAGTGTGGTCTCCCTATTCTTCACAGGGGTGGAGCTCTTCGCCTTGTTTAACCATCCCAAGATGGGCAAAGGCCTGCTGAAGTACTACACGGTGAAGGTCCCCCTGCGGGTCCAGTGCCAGGATGAGAGCATCGTCTCCGTGGAGGCAAACTGGCTGGATCACATGACCCAGCACTTTCACAGCGGTGCCTTGTTGATTGACGGCTACTTCCACCTGGGGAGCGAAAATGGTACGGTCCAGGGAACTCCCATTGTGCTTCCAGCAGAAAGTTAGCAAGCCGTATAACTGTACCCCTTCGAATTTCAGCCCAACGACTTTGAGGAACAGCGAGAGTACCGAGCCTAAACCCCAAATGGGACACCCCTGGTTCCTCAAGTGTGATTCTTCATCTTGATCACTCCCCTATCAACCCAGTTTAGCAAATGGGTGTCGTATTTAATTAATCACTTGAAAGGACCGCATCAGCAACTCTGAAACACAGATAATTAGGCTGATATCAAATTTGCACATCTTTGCATACATTATGCTTGAAGAGGCATGCAATTATTATTAGTCTTTGCCATTTGTATTGATTGACACCCCTGTGGTACACCCTAGGGCTGGATGGGTAGCCAGCACAGCAGCGAGAATAAGCATCCCACGCTCTGAGAATAGGGCCTCTGACTCTAACGAAAACTTAAGCTTAAATAAAGAAAAAGAAAAATTCTGGCGGAAGACAGACAGAATTGAAAGAAAGAAAAAAACCTTAAAATATATAAATAAATGAAGCCGTCCTCCGTCTCTCGTTCCGCTTGAGAAATTCGCCCTTTTCATCCTTTTTCCCAAGTGCCTCAAGTTGCCTTCAGCTGAGAGGGTTAAGTACGTTCGCCTGTCTGGCGGAGGCCACCCAAAGGCACCTGTGTAGTGTAGCGTCCCTCTGGCGCCGCGAGGTGTAGTCCAGAGCAAAACCACTCTGCACGACTCCCCCCCCCCGAAGCTACGGAAATGGATCGCTCTCATTAGCGTTAATTTTTAATGGTGTTATAATATGCACAGACCCAGTAAAATATACATATAAAAAAGCACCAAATGAGCCATGGGATAGTGAGGCTTCACGCAGGAGGCTGACACTTAAATAAAGATTTACATAGGGCTCCCCCGGACTCGCGAGAAAACACACGCAGGAATTGCTAAGCGCTGAGAGGTAGGGAGCAGACCAAGATGTAATTCTTAAAAATATAAAGATTAAGCCTCCCGAGAGGGTGCAAAATGTGAGGGTGCAAAATGTGAGGGTGCAAAATGTGAGGGTGCAAAATGTATACGTACATTTTACCGTAAGTCGCTGACTGCTCCAAAAGCGAATGACCAAGGTACAGGCCTAACAAACACAGACAGGTGTCTCCGAATTTAGCAAACTTTGGAGGTTTGAATTTATCATGAGAAATTTCCATTAGCGCTTAGGCTGAATATGCTTAAAAATCTCTAAAATACAATTTAAAGCAACGGAGCATAATAAAGATGTTCAGCATCAGAACTCGAATCAAAACCATCAAATCAAAAATCCATTAGTGACTATAGCCATGTGGGTTATTGCAATGACACCAGTGGTTATTTTCCTCCTGGTAGCTTGAGAATAGTATCAGTATTGTTTATCTTGTCATCTCCCTCTCTTCTCTTTCTTTATTAATATTGTTAGTGTGCGAATGTGGATAAAAATAATGTGAAAGCATTCAATCGAGGAGAGAAGGTTCTTGAAATGCTTTTGATGGTTTGACGGTGGAGGTCACGGTGGAGCTGGCTCTGAGCTAGTGCTTAATAATAGAGTGATTGATAGTTCTTCTGCTCTGAAGTGAGAATATGTTAAAAGGGGTCTCAAGAAGTATAGAAATATGGAATTCTTTCAACACATACAAACACACAAACACGTGCCTCCATCTGCTCATTTACTTCAGTAATCTTCTGAGCATTTTGTGTTTTTTTTTCTCCCAAAACCGCTTTTGTCGCTGATAGTGTATAGTTTCACGATTAGCAAAACACTATATCTATAGTAAAAGAATATGTGCCCCACCCACTTTTTGCGATATAGGTGCAAAAGGTTGGTTATTGGAGAGGAGATACCGTTTCTTTCAGTACATTCAAATAGTCCTGCTTCCACTATCACAAAACATCTATTTCTGAGTTCTAAAAGTGATCTGCATTCATGCGATCTGTATTCATAAGATCTGCATTCATAAGTATGCGCATAATGCTCATTTCCCACACTTGCGTGAAGCGTAGCATTAATTCCCAGAATGCCTCACTCTAAATGGTACCGCTTGCTTTTCAAGACGCAGGAAGGGCTTATATTACTATTCATGGGTTTGGCTTTTTTGATTCCGAACAGCCCGCTAAAATATCTGACGGCAAGAGGCCGAAAAGACCGGGATACTGGCTGAAGTTGACATTGTCATGCTTTGCTCCCTCCCCCGTTAGAAAGCACTTTGTCAGGCACGCTGTAAAGTACATGAGTTGTCACAGCTGGTCTTTGAGTGCTCCTTGCCCACCCACCCCACCAGCTCAGCCATTATGTGGCTGTCATGTTAAGATACAGGACAAATGCATTTAAGGCACCCCTCTGTTACTAAGGCATCAACCAGGCTGGTGATTTCCCACCTTTTTTACTCCTCAGTCGGTCCCTCTGCTTCTGCCTTACTGCAGACCACTGGCTAGATGCTACAATCAGGTGGGGGTGGTGGCAGCTGACTGCGCCCTTTAGGAGCCAAACACCCACGTCACCACAGCACCTGTCATCCTCCCTGCCCCCTGCTGAACTATCGAGCAAGACAGTCGGGGAGAGGTCTCCATTTTCAATTACGGTCCGAACAAGGAAGCCAACTTATCAAAAGAGAGGACAAAGACCATGTCTAACAGCGTGTAGAGGTGTCTTTACCTGAGTGAGCACAGCCTAAGTGTCTTTCAGGGGGAAGAAAGGAATCCTGACGTCCCGTCTCCCCCGCACCCCCCCCTCCCCGCAGCCAAGCCCTGATCCCCATTATCCAGAGTAATAATGAAATCCAGAGTGTCTTGGAAAAGAGACAGGCCTGTACAAACATTATTAGTGTGCAAATGTAGAGGAATTAATGGGAAAGCACTCAGGAAAGGAGGAGGAGGTCTGTGCAATAAGAAAATGCTGGCAAAAGAGGAGTGAGGGGTGATGGGAAGGAAGGTCCAGGCCTGTTTGAGCATCAAGACATAATTCTGAAATCATAAATCAGGCTGGCAAGAAGAAACATCGAAGCGTACGGAAGGTACAGAGCGAAACATCGCATAACGGCCATTTACATACTCACCGTACCTCAAAGTCATACATTCAGTTTCAGCATTAAGGATTTATTGACAGAATGTTACGAGAAGATGTTTGCGGGAATAATATATGATTCTCAGAGAAGCAGTTTGAAATCATTCATGTTGACGCATCAACTGACTGATCTCACGTGCAACAGTCAGGTGACTATCTTCATCTTGCGACCAAAATTAAATCGCAAGGCAGTCGTGTTGAGAGATCTCATGCCTGCGGAATGGATAACCTATTACATCTGTTGGGCTGTTCCATTAATTCGGTTCTTTCGATGCTGTTTGACTTTTTCGGTTTAATTGTCAGTTTTGTTTGTTTTCTATCATCATGCAAAGGCATAGCCTGGGCAAAATACCTCACTACGTCCCAGAAATACAGCAGTAAGTATAACAACTCAATAGCTCTATAAATAGAAATTCTCAAAATCTGAAAAACTGGTAAGCTAGGTATACATACATGTGTTTTTTTTTCAAGTATTTTCAGTAGCACTTTATTTAAAGCGCACATGTATGATGCATTATAGATACCTTCATAATGCATTGAAATGCATTCATAAAGCATTATAAACACAGCTATAACTATTTAGAAAAAGGCATGTTTATTATGCATCATGAATGCTCTATGAAGCTGTCATCTATAATACACTATAAATACCTTCATAATTCATTATAATGGCTTATACTGACCATTATAATGCATTATGACGGTATTTATGTAGCTTCATTGAGCATTCATAATGCATAAAACATGGCTATAATGTGTTATACCTTTTTATAGTTATAGCCGTGAGCCATACTCTATGAATGCATTATAATGCATTATGAAGGTATCTGTAATGCATTATGATGAATGCTTTAAGTAAAGTGTTGAATGCTTATAGCAGTTTCATTTTTGGTATATTTGTAAATTATTGTGTTCTTGTTCGGTTGGCATTAAAACTGCTGGATGGGTGTAAATAAAGGGAAAACGTACTCACTGGCTACGAAGAAGTGTCTGTGCTTCGTTTCCTTGTGCAAAATGTAAAATAAAATCAAAATTTTCAATTTGGCTTTCAAAAAGTTAATTGCCGATCAAAGCTTTGGTCAACTAATCTGCCTAATTAATCTACAAGCCAGTAATTCACTGGGGGTCTCCTGTGACAATGCAGCCAGCCTGTGCTATCATTGGTGACCTCCAGTGAATAATTGGCTCACTGTGCAACGCATAATTAGCACTAACCTTGTTTGGGCCCAGCTGGAGTGACCTTTCCTTCTCAGGTCTTGTATTTGTTCCCCGCAGATGTGTCCCCTACGTCCGTGGAGAGCATCTTCATCTTCCAGGAGGGGCAGGAGGTAGAATCCAATACGGCAACAGCGTATGATGCCATAGTGGTGGAGCAGTGGACTGTTATCGATGTGAGTCAATTCATACTTTTTGTTCATTTGGATTTGCTACCAACGGTTGCAGAATTCAGAGGAAATCTCCTGTTTGCCTTTTCATGGTGGTTTTCCCTAGTTTACTGCGCATTCCCTCCCCAGATCGGTAAAACTGAATTCCCTTCCACTTGTGAATTACGCCCCGGGCTCGGAATCAGCCATGACCGGACACGTGGAATTTTCAAACGGGCGGAACGACAGATTTAGCGCAAAACCCCATCTGATGGTTAAGCAGCTCTCTGCGTCAGGCCTGCTGGAACCACACCCGTGACTCGCGTTTGTCACGGCGGTCCGCGCGGCCGCGCCGAACTTAATCAACTAAGCTGTTTTTGTCGCACGTGCACGCAGACTCTCGGCTGAGAAGCGCAGTCGCCAAGACGAGCCTGTTGTTTTCCTGTGGGTGTTTTTAATTTACCCTCCCTCCGAAGCAGGTGTCTTTCTGCTCAAAGTGAAAAAAACACATCACACGCTAGCAAGTTAATGAGCCAAGGATGAGATTATAAAAAAAAAGAAGAAAAACTAGTCTTTTCATGGAGCTTCTGTACATAAAATTGCAAACTCCAATTCAATGGAAGTACAGCCAGAAAATAATTTAAAGTGGATATTGGTGGTGACTCGAGAAATTATTCTTGCACTCCGTGTATAAACACATGGGCTAGGAAATGGAGTATGTTCTTTATTGCGATTATCTTCTGTGCACTTTCCACTTGCAATGCATAACGATTTAGGCGAATGTATTACAGTACAATTTCATTTACTTGGTGTATCAGCACCGTTGCTCTCTAAGACATTCATTACTCAGTTAGACGGATCAAGTGAGAATGTTGAACCTTACAGAAGGAATCCAAACATTGTTTTAATTTCACGGCCTTTACGGGATATTACCCTCTATCAAAACTGTATCAGAGTCACCACAAGAAGCTGTGCTTAGACCTTTACCAGGTCTCTGGCTGTCTGTCTGTGTGTGTGTCTGTGTGTGTACGACTGTCTGTCTGTGTCTGTGTGTACCCTGTGACTGACTGTACCCAAGCGTAGGCTTTGTGTTTCCAGAATAGGCTGCAGATTACCATGACCCATGGTAAGATGTTATTAAAGACAGATAGATGGAAGAACGAACGATAATAACCGTCCACTTTCGGAGAATCTCTCTATTAAAGAGAGATTCTGACCTTGCTCAGGGAGAACCTGGTTTGAAAGGCTTGGAAACACGACTGGGTCACAGTGGACATAGTATGTTCTGGCACGATGCAGCTGATATGATCTTCTGAAGTGCAGCCTTTCCTTGGCCTCATTACTTATAGCTGTTGATGAAAAGACCCCCCCAGATTTATGCTAAGGGGGAGCACTATCTGTAATTCTCCAAATGATGACAGGGTAACTGATAACATTTGCATTTCCACTAGAGGATAAATAGCATTGCACAGACCTGAAACTGACAATAACAGGGGGCAAACTGAAATTTACTGAGCCATGCAGTTATTGGGTTCAGTGGTAAAACTCAGCCCGGCTCTATAAACACAAATGGGAAGGGTTTATTTTTTATCCTCCTAGAAATCTGAGCTGCTGCATAATGAGTGATGGAGCTGCACGGAAACGTAGCGACTTTCTGGGAGTACATGACAGCTGATGATCGGCTTGGCAGCGCTGTCAGCGAGGAGAGGGAGCTGCTGAGCTCACGCTAAGCGTGCGGGTGGCGCTGCCGCTCTCTCCCAAACACGCTTGCCTTGTTTTCAACGTGTTTTGATATATTATTGACTACGTGAAACGCTGCATATTTTGCTGAAAATGTTCAGTATTACCTCTTCAGGGTTTATCTTAAGGATATTTGATTTTCCCACATGTCAGAATTGTCTGCCCTTTTGAAAGTGATTGTTGTGACGCTGTGCTGTTTTAGGGAGTGCAACGGGGACATGGCGAAACGTGTGAACATCGGACCCTTGGTCTTCTCTAAAATAAAGCTGCGAGCGAATATATGATCTGCAAAAAAGAAAAAAGAAAAACAGTTTCCCCATTCATTCAGAGTGAGCTCATTCTCTAGCATTGTGTGCAATTCAACCCTAGACAATCTTTTGCGCAAGCGGTATAGTCCTATAATGTTATTAAAATTATGCTGCCGGTATATTGTATATAAAGCATAAAATGCATTGAAATTCTGCTTTAACTATGTGTTGAAGGGCGGCATGGTGGCTCTGGGTAGCACTGGCTTTGCACCTCTGGAGTTCGGGGCTTGAATCTCACGTCCACAGTGTGTGTGAATTCTGCATGTTTTCTCAGTGTCTCAGTGTTGTGAGGGTTCCCTCGCAAGTCCAAAGACATGCAGTTTGCATGATTGGTGTCTCTGAATTGCCAGTACTGTGTCCTTGTGTGTGTGTGGCTTGTGATGGACTGGCATGCCATGAAGACTGTACCCTGTACCCCATCCTTGTACCCGGTTCTACTGAGAATAGGCTTTACCCCCCCCCAGCGACTTTCACCCCGATAAGTGGTTAAACGATGACTAGATAAACATAATAAAAATACATTTATGTGAAAAGAAAAAACTATAACTGTATGTGTGTCCTGTGTAAATCTAGCGCTGGGTGTTTCATACGAGCTCAGCCCTTCTGACCTCTGGTCTTTGGCAACCTTAACTGTTGTAATAATTTTCAGTCTACTTCACTCATTAAATTTTTCCCTTTAGCAGTGCACTGTTACATTCTGGGCACACAATTAAAAGATTTCTTTTTTAGGAAACACTTTTAAGTGGTTGAGATGGGATATATATCAGTCTTACAGTCACTTGATGTTTGTTGATAGGGAACTTGATCTGCTTTGTTAATATTCAATCTGCTGTCCTGCACTTCATAAGAAATTAACATCAAAGAGCTGGCTTTCAGTGCTCAACTCTGTTTATGTTCTTCCTCTGATTTTAGCAATGCACTGTTTAGCTTTAATGTAGTTTAGCTGATGCTGAGACACCAACAAATCCAGAGGAACACCTGAAACAATGAGGCGAATCTTTCTGTGAGACTAGGTTTGTGCTAAGTGAATCTTTCAGTGTGCAAATGACAATTTGCCTGTGCTAAACCGGGAGGAATGTTTATGGTGCTACTGGCACTGTTCACGTTTCCTGCAAATTTATAAGAAATCACAAGATCTGAGGGTCTGGAGTCTGTCCACGCTAATCGGGATGACGCTTTCTTCATGGCCATGGAATGCAGCAGAACGAATGTGCAGACTGGGAATGAAACCCGTCCTCAAAGGCAGGAAAGGGGGAGAGAGCAAAGGCCGTAGAAGAGTGGAGACAGTCAAGCGGCTCATATGATGTCTTCTTCACCAAAGAGACCATGACAATCAGTGGGTCACAGCAAACTGAACAACACTCAGGGAAATAGGAACCGATGCCATTCTGATCGATATCCTTAGAGGAAATATTTAGATGCTGAGGAGTCTTATCTCAGAGACCTGCATCAGTGGTGTGTTCATGAGTGAAAAGAAAACTGTCCTTTCAATTAAGACACTGAAGCAAATGTGAAATGGGTAAGATAGTAGTGTAGCAGTCCACTCAGTTAGGAAATGTGCAGGAATAAAAAGGAAATGATGTCCAGATTTTAAAAAAAGCCCTCACATTCAGTTTGGCTATCTCTAGTTGAGACATAAAGTGAACTGTTTCCATTTTCAAGTTTACAAGCCCCTGCTTGACTCTGGAATATGTACCTTTTAATGAGATGCATATAGGTCTAATGAGAGACCCAGAATTCCCTTGTCTTTCTTGTAAAAAGTCGTTTCTTTCCGAGTAATTGGGCCATGCTGCATGAATTATTCATCCTGCACTTTGTTTCGGACTTGCGAGCTTGTCCACACTCCTCGGAACACATGTGATCGATTCAGGGTGCGACAAAATTGGGGAAAGACCAAATACTAAGCGTGGAACCCAGTTTCCTTTCAAGCTCTGGTGTTAGTGGAGAAGTAGAAAAGGCAACATGGACATATTAATGAATATTAAAGAAGCTAAAACAATCATGGCATCTTACGTACATGCATTCTGTGGAGCCTTGTCATGTCTTGTGATTGCAAATGCGTTCCAATTAAACCCCTGCTTTAACTGGTAATGTGGAGGGACAGAAAGGAGATGGGGGTGGGGGTGCCGCTGTCGTGGCCCTAGCCCCCTCTCTGTTTGTGCAAATCCAATTCAGCATGAAGTCATTATATTTGTGCTAAAACGGATTCTCCACAGCGACACCACGGCTGCCGAGACAGGCTCCATGTCACTATGCTCCATGCCGTCTCACTCCCTGACAGGCTCCATGTCACTATCCTCCATGCCGTCTCACTCCCTGACAGGCTCCATGTCACTATCCTCCATGCCGTCTCACTCCCTGACAGGCTCCATGTCACTATCCTCCATGCCGTCTCACTCCCTGTGCGCCAAAACAGAACTCCTCTCCTGCTCACTCCTGCCATTTTAAGACACATTTCACTCCACTTCACCTGCCGAAAACATTTTTTTTTGACGCGGCCCAAAAATCTGACGCTCATCATCAGCATTGTGTTTATTTGGCTTTTCGGAAGGCCGGGCCCTGGCTGCTCTCGGTATATGAGAATACATCGACATACAGGCCTGCCCATCCTCGGCCAGAAACTTCTTTGTTAGCCTAGTTTGCTCAAACTGAATTGCATTACAATTACGATTCCTTGATTAAATGCGCCTCTGCAACGGCTGAATTGTTCTACATTCGTGGGCTGACATGTTTATCCAGTCTAACTTATGGCTTTTACCCACTTACACAGATGGACTATTTTCGGTTTCTCTGGGTTACAGTAGCTGGACCCCCTCTGGGATTTGAAACATTACAAGGTTATAAGCCCTTGTCCTTAATCACCATGTTTCCTAATACTATGCAATATAGTTGTCCAACTGACTTTATTTTAAATGTTTGGTCACAGATTGTCAATGAGAACCTAGACGGATGCATTTGGATACTATTAACTATTAATCAAAGATTGTACTAGTTTATATATTACATTTTTATCATGAATTATAAATTCACATTTGCAGAGTCTAGAGAAAGTTAAGCTGCTTTGTTCTCAGTTCATGTTTAGTTAACCGCAAAAAAATCTATTATATGTATTGTTATTCAAATGAGCACACATTTGGGTTGTCAGTACTTTGGGTCTATCTGAATATTTGTAGAACTAGGTGAACCTAGTTGTTAGCTCTGCCCTTCATTGCTATAGGCCCTGTCTATGTATCTGTCTGTCTGTCTGTCTGTCTGTCAGTCTATCTGTCTGTCTGCCTGCCTGTCTGTCTGTCAGTCTATCTGTCTGTCTGCCTGCCTGTCTGTCAGTCTATCTGTCTGTCTGCCTGCCTGCCTGCCTGTCTGTCTGTCTGTCTGTCTGTCTGTCTGTCTGTCAGTCTATCTCTCTGTCTGCCTGCCTGCCTGTCTGTCTGTCAGTCTATCTGTCTGCCTGCCTGTCTGTCTGTCAGTCTATCTGTCTGTCTGCCTGCCTGCCTGTCTGTCTGTCTGTCTGTCAGTCTATCTCTCTGTCTGCCTGCCTGCCTGCCTGCCTGTCTGTCTGTCAGTCTATCTGTCTGTCTGCCTGCCTGTCTGTCAGTCTGTCTCTGCGGACCTGTGCACTAGAACTTGAAAACCACTGGAGTGTGTGCCGAATACCACTCTGGCATGGCTGACACGCGTCACTCTTCCTATCTGGGGTTGGGTGTCGTGTGCGTGTGCAGAAAAGCCAAACAGCGACCACTTCCTGTAAGTGCTGCATCAGGGAAGACTCTGTCACATGTTTTATCTGCGTTGCCATAGCCACCAACATTCAAACATTGATCCCAAAGATAACAACAAGCCAAGTTTATTTATACCTGAGTTTTTTCTTCTAAAACAACAGTACCTACAGTCTGTAGACATAAGAAACATTGTAGATTGTAATTAGTAACGTCCTAAATTTGAAAACTTGGTCCTGGCATTTTCAACAAGTCTCTTCAGAATGAGTCATACAGGTCACATTAGAAGTGCCCAATATTTAGTACTTTCTCGACTGCATATAACTCTTACGCTGATTGCAGCAATTCAAGAGCTCATGCTTACCCTTATCATATAGGCACCAAGACAGAGACACTGTCTCTATCGAACAAAGCCCATCCGAAGTCTAGGATACCTAAAGAGTAAATATATATGCATTCTTATGTGTATATAACGAGGAAGTGCACAACACTCATCGCTGACTTGCATGAAAGTTAATTAATGATTATTGAGCAGCTCATGCCCTGAGGTGAAAAAAATTCTACAGCAGCAGTGCATTCCATGACAGCCTGCCAACACTGCAAATAGAAATGCAACCTGATTACTAACCTCCCATTGTCTTACAGAGTAAGACATACAATAACGGAATATGTTTCAGTCTGGAAAATTGTACCTACGTTTAAGTTATCATTTACATTGTTTCCATTTAGCAGATGTTTTTGTCCAAAATGATGTACTATGGAGGCAAACTGCACATAGACAAACATACACCTCTCAACTAGGTTGGGCTTCCAATGAATGCCCAGGTACAAGTGTAAACGGTATTACTGTAAGAGCTGCACACCGTCTTCCAAACAAAGCAAGAACCTAAGACATGTTCAATAAGCAGAGAGTGCAACACTGAGAACATTCAGGGACCAGAGAGAGGTATCAGGCTAGTAGAGGAATTCCTGGAACAGAAGGGTCTTCGGGTATTTCTTGAAGCTCAGTATCAAGCATGAAGTAGCTTATATCTCCCCGATAATGATGCCATCTCAGATTGACAGTGGGTTAATACTGTAATAAAACCATTGTACACCTCTGTTACCTCTGTTATACAGACTGATGTAATGACCAATGCACCAAGCATTACGGTCCTTTGTCATCCTGTGGCCTGATCCATATCAGTACTCCATCTCTTCCAGAAGGGAAGGCTCTGGTTCTGAGGAGTCCTGCAGGTCTTACAGGATGCATTTCACTTAGCCTCTCATTAACACCTAAACAGCAGAATAAGAAGCTTCTACAACTAATCGCATCGATGAAGCCATCGCGGGCTGACAGGGAGCAAAGAACCCCGTAGACTGCCCCAGGGTCCAGAATTGTGAATGCCAGATCTGATTCCTTAAATGTAACAAGATAAGTAGCAATTCAGTTTGCTAAGTAATCTGTGTAATCAGTGATTTTTTTTTTCTCAGCTAGCCTATTACGACATATTTTCCAATGATGTTACTGTCAAGTAAATCAATATATAAATGTATTGTTACTTAAATAGAGCCAATAAAAATGAGCGCTTTATCTTCTCTATTGAAATTTGAATAAACTTTCACCTTTTATAAATGCAAATAGGAGTAGCTCTTCTAAGTCTTCAAAGAAAAAAGCTGAAATATTGCTAATCTTCCAATGAATTAAATCCTCTTTCTGAATTTTCTTGGTATACTGTATAACCCATAATTCTGCTCTTGCTAATGAATTGTATGCTTTCTACAGGGTGTGGGAGTGAAGACTGATTATATCCCGCTACTCCAGTCTCTAGCGACATATGGATGGAGGCTTACCTGTGTCCTCCCAACACCAGTTGTCAAGACTAACAGGTAAAATCCCTCTGCACCACCATGTCATCTTGTAAAATTTACACATGGGCCGGAATTGAATAGCGTAGAAGCTAATCCCTCTCTAGGTATCTCATTAAGTTCCAGGTGGACACCGTAAATATGTAATGAAGCTGCTTGATAACACTCCATCTGTTCATCTATCCCACAAAAACATGATTACTTTGAAAGTCTTTAGTGCAGAGTCATAATAAATGACATTATAGTATATAACCTTCTAAGTCTCCGAAATATCCAGAATGGGAGGTAATTTTATTACTGGATAATCATATTGTCTTGAAGCTGTCATTCATACCCCATAGGCCTTTCAGTTATGATGTCATAAGGGAATTTGAAATAATGTGAACAGTGAAGAGTATGTCAGAAGCGGATGAAACATCAAATCCTTTACATGAAATATCCTGATGGCATCCTGAGGCAAATCGTGTACTAGAACGAATGGAGGTTGTCTAAAAAGACCCAAAAAAAGAAATTCCAAGCTGTTTTGACTAGTCAAGTAGCTATGATACCTTAAATCAGCAAAGCCGCATCAAACCAGCTAGCCTCAACAGAGTGCTAAGACTATGCAAAACCAATCAAAGATGACAAAGCCACATTGACTTAAGGCAACCCAGTTTTAACTATATGAAGCAACATTATTTAACTCTCCAGAAACTCTCAAGGATTACTAGTGTTGCCTGATAGTAAAAGTCGTAAGCAGAGAAGGTATTCTGTTTAATCATTCTGTCACGGGTTTAATTTCATATTTATTTATTGTTATTATTTATTTCCATTATTTCTTATTTATTTTTTCCATTTTTGTTTTGTTTTAGAAGTGCTTTCTGGCACTTGCCAGGGGGGTATTCCATGAGAGTAGCTAAAGAAAGCCAGACTTTCCTGAAAAAGTCAGACTCAAACTAGCGCCATCTCTAAACTTAGCCTCATGTCGTTCCACTAACGCAGTTAAGCTTTAACGGATCAAGGATCATACAAGACAGATTTGCATAGTCTCACTTATTGTGCATACCCGAGATATTTATGAAGCCCAAAGGAATGGATGATCGATAGATCGACCAAATGAGTCAGAAAGCGTGTAAAACGAGAGCGGTGTTTTTTTTCTGCCACAGAACAAACGCTGCTGATGGAGCTGAATGAAAAATACAAAGATGTAAGTTCTAAAAAAGGCAATTCTGTGGCCGTAAATACAGCCAGGGAGTTGGCTTGGCAAAGAATTGCAGAAAGACTAAATGCGTAAGTTATGTAACGTGAAGTGCCTAGCACGGTGGTACAGTGGTTTATGCTGTCGGCTTACACCGCGAAAGTTGCTGGTTCGATCCCTGTAGCCAACGGGGAACCTTCTGGAATGAGTTCATGTGTCATTCTTACTGTATAATGTTATTCTGCCGTTATTATGTATTTGACCTCCATAAAATACTTACAATCACATCCATGTGAAATGTTCTGCACGAATAACTGTGTCTTGTCTTTGCTTTTTACTAATAAACTTTCAAAGTAGATTGTGACTGAACAAAATATAAAAATATGTTCCGTTCATATTATTTTAACAGATTTTTTTCAATTTCAGTCATTAAATGTCATGCTTGCCCTTTGTAATATGGGTATGCTTTTATTTTAATTATTCTGGAATTAATTGTAATGCTAAGACGTGATTCTTATAGGCTTTATTATATTTATGACATGACATGAGTAGTGAGAGCGTCTGACGGAACGTTGTTTTGGGAATCTGTTCCCACGCGTCGGTCGTTCTTTGAGACAACGCTTAACTAAGCGAGACAGTTAACCTGGTCCGGAGCAGACTTGTTCACTTGCCTAAGTTACCATGGTAGCTCAGCAGGGATTCATTTAAGACACGTTGATGGAACGGAATTCCCACTTAAATGAGCCAGACTTGTCGAAATAAGTCAGACTTTCCCTTAATGGCTGCCCTTCGCGGACAGCTTGCTCTACAAAGAGCAAGTTGAGGGAGGCGTAAAAACAATTTCCCCACGGGGATCAATAAAGTATCAATTATTATTATTATTATTATTATTAATCCTGCTTCGTGGAACACCCCCCAGGCTGTCACTGTAAATAAAAAACTGTTCGTAATGCTTTGCCTGGTAAAATAAAGGTTAATAAATTAATGAATTAATGGATTTAAGGTGGACAGGTGCCTTTGTGTGGGACAAGAGGGTAGATGGATGGTGAGCCTAGCTGGATGTTTGGGGGAACCACACATGTTGTTGGGTCTCTCTTAGGTTCCTACTCATGTTATCTGCGCTCATGAGTGCTCCTTCTCTTCACGGATATTTGTGACCATTTTGGTGCATTACTGATTAATCACATCTCTATTTTAAACTCTCATTTTCTACAGAGAATGCAGAACGCAGGAATAGGGCAAATTAATCAAATCACTGTCCTAGATACTAATAGGTTTATACATTTTCACTTGTTCTCCATGTTGGTCTACCATGCATCTATTCACATACTCCCCACATGCTCTGTCAGTGTGCTAGTCTTTTGTATTTATTGTGTGTCTCTGCACTTACAGGCCTGCTTCTCTGCACTTACAGGCCTGCTTATTATACTGTAGTATGTCTTTTTATTTTGGGAGAAGTTGAATAAGGTTACAGATAATGTGATTTAAAAAGAATTGAAGATGTAGATGAGGAATGTTATTTTTATGTGGGGTTGAAAACTTATTTTTATGCTGTGAAGTATCCATTAAGGTTGCTGGGAAAGTCATAGTAATTATTTGCGAGGGGTAATATTTGTGGCCAGGAAGCAGAGACCCATGCGCGATTATTCTTCTCTCCTACAGCGACGGGAGTCTGGCCACCAAGCAGATCGTTTTCCTCCAGAGGCCTGCCTTGCCACGCAAGAAGAAAGAATCCAAGGTAGTGACCTCCTCATTCCTGCGCCTGTTTCTCTTGGCGCTGCCTGGCGCACTCACGCCAAACAACAACACTCTGCTCTTCATCCCGTTTCTTTCGACACGCCTTGTTATTGTTTGCATTAGACGTAAGAAGCACTGGTCAGAGTGAACCGTCTCTCAACTCCAAAGGCATGGAGATAAGAGACAGAGGCTTTTGAGGCCCTCTGACAGTCATGCATGAGTGGCTCCCTATCAGCAAATCTGAAGTCAGGCACTGAATAATTTCAGCGAACCATAATATTTCTATGTCATTCGCCATTAATGTAGTTATTGCCTTTAGATCCTTTGGCGAGCCTCATTGTTATTTTTAACATTTTCTTGTAGAGTTTGCAGGCGTCCTCGGGGAAATCAGCTCTGCCTCTGAGGATTACTTCTTCATTTACAGAACACGGCACAACTTAATCTCATCACATGATTAGAACTGTTTCATTGTCATGCACAGCTGGTTGGATTTCAGAAGTATTTATAGATATTTAACACTTTGTCATCCCAAAGGTGTCTCTACTTGGCTGCCATTGTGACTGTTACTTATGCCATGCCTATTTCAGCTAAATCTATTTTTACTTCGTCACTTTATCATTCTCAGTTCTTTCATCGTCCATTCTTATGAAACAGCTTGCTTGTCTTAAGGAACAGGCGACACTTTTTTTCCGTTTAAACTTTGAGGAATAGAAGAGTCCTACTTATACTTTGAGTTTCTTTCTGCTTTACAGAAACTGAATTTCAAAACCAGGAACAAGTCAAATAAGAACTCTGTCAAAGATGCTCCGAATGACAAAGGCAGGAAAAGCGAGTCCCCAGGAGGGGAGAAAGAGACAGAAGCAAAGATGTCGGAGGAAGGGGAGAAGGTGTCAAAGGCAGAGATGGAAGCTGTGGTGAGAAGGAATGATGAGAACAGGCAGAGTGAGGGATTATGCCTGGAGAGAGAGAAAGAAGAGAGGAAAGTTGAGCCGGCGGCTGAAGATGGGATTAGTGAGAATGGGGAGATGGTGAAGACTGAGGAAGATAGAGAAGGAGAAGGGATGGTGGAGACTGAAGTCGATGAAGAGGGTGAAGTAGAAAACCTAGAGGAGAAGAAGGATGAGACCCAGGCAAATACTGAAAACAAAAACATGGGAAGGAGAGAGGAGGCTGGAGAAGAAAGGGAATGTCTGGCTGAAGAGGGACCCGAAAAGAATTTAGCTCTGCGAGTCATGAAGGGAGAGGCAGGCAAAGAGGAAGACAGGGCCGCAGCATCTAATAACAGCGATGTGGGACAGTCAGAGCAGTGCAAGCGAGACTCCCATGTTGAGATCCAGGTTTCGGTGGAGTCGGGGCTCACACAGGAGACCTTGGGATTCCCCTCCTCTCCAGACCACTCTAGCAACCCTAGTCATAAGACTGACAGTGACTAAGGCTGCTAAGTGACTAAGACTAGAGGGGCCTTTGATTACTAAGGGGGTCTTAGTGTCAGCTGCCAATGGTGATGACAGTCACATGTCCTGCTCTCTAAAAGTCGGCGTTTAAATCAAATAAAATTTTAAAGTGATAGAATTGAAGTAAGCCCACAACAGCTTCTGTGTACATGCAGCTATATGATTCTGAAGGTAACCTAATGAAGAGAGTCCAATGGAAACTTGGTGAGAGCTGGAGTGGGGGCTGCGGGGGCTGGGGGGGGGCACTGTCAGCCGTGGCGAGGACATCCAGAAACAAAGCAGAAGTGCTCTGTGTTTTGTCAGCCGTGTTGAAATGCCGATGTCCCACCTCCTCTCTCATCGCTCTACTGTGACGCTTACTGGCGACTTACGGACTGTGGAGGGGCCTGGAGCCCGTGAGGCACCAAGAAGCAGGTGGAAGAAGGATGCACCTGTCTCCCCCTGCCCCCCCCCCCCACTTCTGTATCAGGCATCTTGTGCTGAAAAGGAAAACTGCGGGGATCGCTGGCTGTTCCAAAGTGTGTGAAAGACGGGGGAGAAATTTGGGAGGGAGGGGAGCGTTGCAACATACTGTACTCGTAAGAAAAGTTTGAAATCAAGTTGTGATGAAACAGTGTTGTATCATGCTGTAATACAAATTCTCAGGACAGTCACATGACACGGCCTTCTGCTTCAGTTCATTGGTCGGCCAGTCCTGTGCTGCACCAATGTACCCTGGCCTTGGTCCAAAGCCTCATTCTTCACACATCACCGCATTTCTGCCACCACTGCAAGAGTGAGATTGGGAGACCTTTTCTGTAGCGTATGTGGGATAAAACGCCGTGGAGTAAAGACACATCATTTTCTCCTTCAGCAAACGCTTAGAAGTGCAAAGTCTTGTATCTGTGCCCTGAGTTTTTCTGTTTCTATTTTTCTGGTTAAGTTATTTTTTGATATGGTCTTGCTAACCATGCTGGGGCAAGAAGTAGGGAATAGAAAAAACTTCCAACAATCTGCTGAATATAAAGAAATTCTGCTTTTGTATTGCATAGGATGTTGCTTTGACTTGGGTGTGTAATGAGGAAATAGATAGTTGTTGACCTGAGAAGGGCTTGTTCCTCCCTCCGCTGTAGCTTTAATGAAGGTTTAACGACGGCCAGGCTGATGTGGCGCAGGCCGGTCGGTTGCTTTCACGTTCCTGTGATTGCCCTGTACATCCCAAGCAAGATGACTGTCCAACAAGGAGACACTTTCTCGAAGACAATACAGATCAGATAAATTACAGAGGTAATATGTAGACTTTTAAATCACTTTAACTTTAAAAGACCTACTGTCAAGGGCGTAGGAGAAAATTTGATATTGGGGGACACAACTTAATGATATAAATGCAAAGGTCTGTATTTGGGGTGGGGACAAATGAAATATTTAATAAATAAATATTGTCATTTAATTCCTGATAAATCTAATTTGAAATCCCCCAAAGAATAACTTTTCCAAAACAAACAGGATATATGCTCTGCAATAACACAAATTATATTTATTTCTTACTGCATATTTTCCCCGTATGTAGCTTAACGTTTAACGTTATTAGCTGCTTTTTAATTGTGCAAACAGCAAAGCTTGATGATGTTTATGTCAAAGTTAGCTACAAAAACCAAAAGGTCGGACCAACTCTACTTAAATCTACTGAAATGGATACATTTTTTCATTATATACATACAGGCCTGTAGGTGTTGAAAAAATGTTGCTGTTAAATACCTTTGGCTTGCCTTGTTTAACAAGCCGGCCCTCTGCAGAGATGTGTAGCACTCTAAAGACAGTCATCAGCCTTCTAGTGAAAACTGGAGGTTTATATTATATTTTGAGCTTAAAGATTGTGTGTGCAAAAAAAAAAATGGAATGTGTCTTGTTAGTATATTGACAGTATATGGCTGAAAATGCAGTTGTTAATATTAGAATTTAGTTTGACGATAATGTATTTTTATGAAGTCCAGTGTTTTTTGGAAAAGATATTGTAATAACATTGTCGTTGGGAGCTTGTGGGCCCCGGAATTCAAAAACCTTCTTCATGCTGCATCCGCTGGGCCTCTTCTGTCCTGGTTTCGCTCCGGTTTTACGGGGTCCAACCTTCTGGACACTAGACAAGGTCAGAGGCTAATGTTTGAAATACTTTGTTGCCTATTCACTGTTCTTTACAGATGGAAATCATTTTGAGTGTGTGATTGGTTGCCGCAGTCGTGTCACATGACGCTTCTAAACATATATCAGGATGTTGTCTCCACCCACCTTCTGTTTTATGAAAATCTCACCTGTGGGTTTTGGCTGATTAATAAGAGTTCAATTTGTCTTCAACCTGCTATTTTGAATGAAAAATAGACTCCCTGAGATGCCATTGTTTGTGTTTATTCATATTAAAATGCAGTTGCCTTTTCAGTCGATTTGTGATTTTCAAAAGTGTTTTGCTCATGCTGCTAAATCTATGTATTAGAATCATGTGATTCCATGTTTTCCTGCAGTTTTGTATGTTGTTTAATGACGTGTTCATGATGTATTGGAAAACGCAATGGGGATTTTCTATGGGCTCCCATTGTGTAGTATTCACAGATTCTGGTGGGGATAGAGCTTCTGGCATAAGTGTCAGAAATGGTGGTAAATGTTATGCATTTCCTACCTTTCCTGCCTCTCACATCCTCCTGGGGGGATGAGGGAAGGTGGTCAGACTATCAAACTATGCCTGCGACTATCCTCTGGTGGCAAGCTAAAAAGCAGGAACGGGGAGACGAGGAAGCAGACCAAAGCAAGACATGAAGCGCGCTCTGTAGGCTGGAGCTGAATGGCCGCCTTTGTGGCACCCCGACAAAGACAGGCGGCCTGACTGCAGCAGAACCCGGCTGCGTTTGTTTCCCTGGGGGTGTTAGGGTCTGAAAGGGAGCCCCAAGTGCTACACCCGCCATTCAGATGGCGCGCAGTTACAGCTCTTTGCATCTCTCTGCTCCCCACTGCTTGCTCGTGGTCCTTAGCATACAGGATTGTCACCGTGTCGGTGTGCGAATCTCAGACTGACAGCCTGTCACTGCTGCCGTCGTCTCCAGAGCACCTCTCCAGTGCGTACCGCTTAATTCTCTGTAAGACATTGCTCTTTGCTTTTCTGTTTTGGAGAGCTCCATGTTTGTTCACGTTTGACGTCTGTATAATTTGTACATAATAAATCTGCTTTTGTGTTTTTTATAAATATATTTGCTTTATCATACATGACGTAAATTGTTTCTTTGTCCAGCCAGCCAGTAGTGACATTCACATTCTTTTGTGGTAATGACATATTTCCCTGAATAACCTAAGTTCTTTCGGCTGACAGTTAAATGTCTGTTTCAGTGTTTGTTCTTCCATTGAAGGACTTACTAGTCAGAGCTGGAACATTAATAAAATTTGCATGTCCAAATGAAGTCCACATGATCCTTCGAAAGTTGTGTCTTTTCCTTGGATGCAAGGTAACAAGACAATTATTTTGCTGAAGTGAGGTACAGTATACAAGGCCTTTCGAAGGTATACAAGGCCTTTCGAAGGTATACTAGGCCTTTCGAAGATGTACAGAGCTCTAATCCAAGTTTGAATGCATTGGTGACCCCCCTCCTAGCACCATTGAATTCATCATCGATGGCGCTTATGGTGTTTTTAATTAGCAGCACAACTGGGCCAACCTCCGTAAACACAGACAGCTCTGCTTGTGGGTCGAGTTTCCGCTCAGCCGTGTTTACACTTGAGCGTTTCTGTTTACTGCAAATGCAAATTTTATTTATTCACAAATGATGGTCTTCATTATATGGAAATTGAGGATGAATCAGGATTTGTAATCATTCTAAATAATGATATGCAGAAAATTCAACAGTTCAGTAAGAAGGGTGTCAGAGGAACAGTTCTGAAATAGAACAGAACAGAATGATACGTTTCAGACAGGTTGCGGCAGGTTGACATTTTAAATGTTTTTAATCTTAGATGAGTGACTCCCATCCTGGGACTGTGGAACAACCACTAGAAGTGTCTGAACATGCAGATAAACAAACAAGGCTTGTATTTACCTTCTGCTCGAAATATACACACAATAATCATTCACTGGCATAATTTCTTTATAATACATGATAATAATAATAATAAAAACAGTAGAAAATGTTTTATGCTACAAAACATTTACCTTTATCCCGAAGACACAGATGAACTCTTCTCAGTAGCATGTGAGCCATAAATGCTAACATTGTGGTTGGAGATGCAGGTGTTCAGAAGCTGGAGCTGATGTCCCACCTCCCCAGGGGTGGGGGTTGATTCCCACGCCCCTGGCTTTGAGCATGTAGAGTTTGGTGGACTGACATCTTTAAACCAAACCTCTTGCAAAAATTTATGCTTCAAAATACTGGAGTTTTATTCAGCTTGGGGGCAGATACAAGTAAGTAAATAAAATAAAATAATGATAAATAACTAAATAAGTTACCAGATTTATTTCTATTCTTAATTCTATTTATGTTATGAGAAAACATCAACATTATCACAGATACACTGCAATTTAACACTAGTACAAAACACATTAATTTATTAAGCAGATTCATAAAGTTTGAGGGACGTGCAAATTACGGGAGTTTCTGCAGAGAAACAGCAAAACGGGAAGGTCTGCTGGAGACCACCCATGGAGTGTGAGGATATAGACGCCCAGCATCAGGCTGTCATTCTGTCCCAGGTGTACAGCGCCCCCTGCTGCCTGGTGTAGGCTTCACGCTCACCTGTACCTGTACTAGATAATTAGTATGGAAGACGGATGAAAAGTCAAAATACTGATATAAGAAATTCTGGAACGTCTTCATTCAATACTGTGATAAGGGTGTGTGGCTACAGTATATAAATTATTTATAATAACAAACTGTGCTTCCACGACTAGGCAGTTTAAATTAAAAATTGAAAGCACTACATTGCAAGTAAATGAAAATAGAAATGAATGACCATATAAATATTTATCATCAAGTTTAATTTATATAAAAACTGGCCACATATTTGTTAGGTGTTGAACATTATTTTTGCAGCTGAATAGGTATCAGAAAGGAGGAGAATCAAATTGTTAAATGGAGGGAAGAGAAAAACATCATGCCTGGTCACAGCAGAGAGAGAAAGAGAGATGGTGAGAGAGAGAGAGAGAGAGAGAGAGAGAGAGAGGGAGAGAGAGAGAAAGAGAGATGGAGAGAGGGAGAGAGAGAGCAAGAGAGATGGAGATTGCTTTAAAGCAAGCAGTTTAGAGACGTAGGCAGAGGAGGTGAACATTTGGTTTTTACAGTCTTCTAGCATTCTTTAGCTGATTGGTGACGGGCTAAGTATGTTTTACGTGTGTAGGTTGGTAGACATGATAGTGGTGTGAATAGCAATTTTTAAGCGAGCTGTAGGCGTAGTAAAACAGATTTTTACTTATGTTTCTATTTAGTAGGTCTCTGAGAAAATGCATGCTTGTTTTTACCATATTTTATGTTAATGATTTATATGATACAAAGAATACCTTTCTGAAAAATGATGGCTGGCACACCTATTGTTCATCAGGTTGGCTCAGAAGGCATGAATTAAAATTTATCTTGTAAAACTAAAAATGCAAAAATTCTTGTATTTTGTTTGGTTACTTATGGTTATGGTTAGGGCAGGGTAGGGGTTAAGGTTGTCATAGTTAGCATTAGCATTTTTCCCATTGAAATGAATGAGTGGTCCCCATAAGGATATGTTTACCCTACATGTGCGTGTGTGTGAGTGTGTGTGTGTGTGTGTGTGTGTGTGTGTGTGTGTGTGCGCGCGCATGTGTGACCCACCCACCCATATTTAAATGAAACTTAGTGTATTGCATAAAGTTATGGAGAAAACATGCAAACTCTACCTGCACAGAACCCAGTGCCCTACTACATAGGCAGTTGGAAGAGATTGTTGGATGGATAGTATGTGAAGTAGGAAATGTTCACCAGATATATCCATGTACCATCTTCAAAATTAGTTAGTTAACATCATACGTAGAGTAATGATATCACTCAGTAATGGTAAATAGGTAGAAAGGCAACTTTGCCTGTTCTATTCATATTAATTAGACTATTTATTACAGTTATAAAAGCAAGGTCACAACCTTGAAGGCGTTTAATGCATATTTTATTTCCTTTGTTTATTAAATCACAAGTTATTACCAGTGAATCCTTAACTGTCGCGTGAATTAGCTGACTGAATTTGAATGCACTTGCAAACACTTTTGCGTGAACTTCAGACTGCAGCCGTGGTGACACGACTCCCTCTGCTGGTGCCTGCGAGGATGACAAACGATACCAAGATCAGAAAAAAAAAACCTGGCACAAGACCATCAATTAAACCATTCATTAATTAATAGTTCATTAAAGGAGAATCCAGCCACTTTTAACTGCATGTGCTGGTGCACAAATTTAATTTGGATAATAATGTACATATAATTTTGATACATTTTGATACAGTCAATAGGTAAACTGATTACAGAGTGATTCCGAGGGGTTTGTGGGACTGAAGACCTCCTGTCTTCTTTATTGATCTTTTCTCCCCCTTTTTGTAATTTTGACCTAATTTCAGAGGATCTTACCATCACAACCCCCATGGCTCCACCCGGTCACTAGGCACAGCAGTGGAAACGCACGTCATTAAGCGTGGAGTCGTCCAGTCCACTCTGGTAATTCTCCATCTTCACCTCAATGCCACAGATGCCCCCAGTTGTGCACTCCTGGCTCCAGCCACCGTAATCACCCCAATCCGGCCCCCGCCCCTCCAAGGTGGGGTTGCTGGTGCAGCGGAACCTGATGTTGTTGGCCGAGGTGTCGTCCCCGAAAATGCCTTGCTCGGGTTCGACACGAAGCTGGAAGGACTTCAGAAAGCCAGCCTCGGGGCACCACTGCGGGTCCGTCCATTCGCCGAAACTGGAACAAGACACATTTCTTTTTAAAAAAATCCACTGTAGTACCTTTTTGTCGTCTTTGGAGCTGGTTGCTTTGACCCAAACATGTAACTGTAAACGAAAGTGCAGTGCATGGAGTTTGCATATGTTCTGTTGTCACACTCTAACATTAAACCAGCTGGGCTGTATCAAAGAAGCACGTCTTATACATACTATCCAATGTGAGACTCAATGGTGTACAAGTAGCTCCTGTCTGTGCCCTGGGAGCAGTACAGACGGATCCCATTGAGCGAGGTGTCATCGAGGCCATACTGGTTGGACTCCACCTAATGTAAAAAATAACTTGAATACATGAAACATGGATTTTTAAATTTTTTTTTTGCAAAACATTCAAAGACGGGCAAGTGGCAGGATGTCAAGCAAATGGGTCATTTTCTCTATATTCACATTCACTGCTCCCTGGTGGTTAGTGCAATAACTGTATTAAAATAATATGTATTGGATTAACTCAAGGAATTAAAACACATCTAAACTCAATAATTCCCTGTGATGCTGCCACTAGTCATTTTTTCAAAGACAGAAGCATTGCAACGCTGTAATCTTCATGATTGTGAGTTCCTCTGTGTTCCTGACGTGACACGAGGCTGTAGGATCGTGTTTTTACCCGAACACTGAAGCCCGAAGCGTAGAATCCCTCAGGACACATTTCTATCCAAGTCCAATCTCCAAATTTCCCTCCATTTGGCACAGTCAGGATGGAGGTACTGGCCCTTCCAATGAAGTTCCTTCCAGCTCGTTCCACGAAAGGCTTCTCCTCCAGGTCACATGAGCCCAGAGCTGCAATGGAAAGTACCGAGACACACAACACGAGTAGGGATGCCATGTCAGCGCAACAGACAGACCGAGCATGGAGCAAACTGAGACGAATTTATATATAAGCACATCCAGCTGCAAAAAATTCACGACCACCCTCTCCTGTTATCTATGTTAATAAGTCACTTTTCTGAAAATAATCATGGGAAAACACAGGTGTTAAGACGTGACATGAAAGAAGTCAGATGTACTGGGGTCTATCACTAGTGTGTACGTGTCAGTAATAACTGCTGAAGGCTCCCCTTTGCTCTCTACTTTCCATGGCGTCTGCAGCCAGTGAAAGTGCAGCTTCTTTGCGTGCTGTTGCAGTTCCTGCACCCAGATTAACATCTTGTGAAGCTCTGATGCGCATTAAATCTCATCCATGAAGATCCACCCACCCGAATTTATGTTTTTAATAATCTAGATGATTATTAAAGATTAGATTGAAGAATGAATGATTTCTGCGTGCTTCGGCCGTTTCCTGAAGCCGGAAGGTGGAGGTATGATGTCATGACTTTGTTTTGCTCATGGGCCACTTGGCAATTTAATCAGAACTGAATGCCCATGTAACCATCATGGCTGCCACAGTAATCTGCAGCAACACGCCACCCCATCTGGCTCATGCTCAGTTGAGCTGTCATTTGTTTTCCAACAAGACAGTGACCCAAAACACATCAGCAGGGTGTGTAAGAGCTTTCTGGGAAAGGAGAATGATGGACCGCTCCATAAGACCTGGCCTCCACAGTCACCTATAACCTAAACCCAGCAGAGATGATAGGGGGTGACTTTGATCAAAGAGAGAAGGAAAAACTGCCAGCAAGTATCCGGCATAGCGGGAAAATAAGCTTAGCCACTCACATGAGGTGAGTAATTTAGATGAAGGCAAGTTCAGAAGTGAATGTTACTCCACTGAGTAGTAAAAAAACATTGCATGTCAGGTCACAACAACAACAACAAAAAAACAGATTACATTGAGTTTTCATCACTCAGCACAGGCATGTAGCCGCTGTCTGGGGTGACGATGTGTGCAGGGTCTTGTTGGACAATCCCAGTTTCAGACTTGTCCCAGTTAGCCAATCAGCTTGAAGGGCCTGATTAATCCATTTCCTGCAGTAGATTCTCCATTTTCCTGAGCAAAAAAAAAAGTGACTTTGGAAGGAAATTGAAGAAACTAACTTGATTTAATTAATTGCTTTTTTTGCTCGACCACCTTTGTCTCTTTGCTTGTTTTTGCTCTTTATGAGTTTACATTTTACATTGTGGGCCACTGAAAATGTATCTGGGCTGGTATGTTTTTTCTTACTAAAGTAGCCCGTTGGGTTGTAGCAAAAATTCCCTGGTGGGAACTAATTCCAGATAGGAACCCCAGGAGCCTGGTTAAGTGAGTGTTGAAGGCTGTCATCAAGGCAAATAGTGCTACTTTGAAGAATCTAAAACACAGATTTTAGGTGTGATTTAAAACTTTTTTGTCATTGCATAATTACATCTGTTACTTTATCACTTTGATGCCCACACCATTATTTATTATTTTATTTAGCAGGTGCTTTTATCCAAAGCAACATACATATTTTTGGGAAAGCAGGGTCAATCAGCCCTTGGAACAATTAGGCAATATGAGTCTTGCTGAAGAGCCCAGCAGTAAAATCCCTCCATGAGGGGATTTGAACCAGCAACCTTCCAAATCACAGGTACGGCAGCCTGATCTGCTGAGCCTCCCACCAGCCCTAGCGTGCTACAATAACATATTAAAAATAAAGAAAAAAAATCTTCTATGAGTAGGTGTGTCTAAACCTTTGACTGCTGTACACATACACTCCTTGGCCAGTTCACTAATTATACCTGCTTACTGATCCAAACAGCCTTCTCCTTCACGCAGGGAATCACACATCTGCAACAGAATACATACAGGATGTAGACAGGAGCAGGAGATTTGTTAAGGCTGTCAGGAAAGCCACATACTCATATGACGACAAAAAATATCAATGTTACGATACTGAAAACCTCGCAAAAAAATCATTGTGAAGAGATTTGTAAAATTCTAACTATATGGCGAAAAAATTAAAATTTTGTCATGTTTAATGTATGTCCCAACTCTTCTTCATTAACTAAGGCTAATTAATGCTAATTCTGAATACCCATTTGTAAAATATTTCCATAAAAAAAAAAGCATAATAAAAAGCTGACTGATACACATTTTACAAACTGGATAATTTACTACATACTCAAATGTGAGCAGCGTGTTACTTTCCCATGTACTTGGTCAAAGTCAGCTCCCTGTTCATATCTAATTTAGCGTCTACATGTTACGCAAGGCTAAGCTGCTAAGCTGCTAACCTGGCCCTTGCAATGTGCTGTGTGTTATTTCCATTTCAAATAAAATGCCTCTGCTAGGGGTGGCCATAGTACGTCCTTCGCATGCATGTTCATTATGCATCCGTCAGCTCGCCTTGAGCTTTTGTGACACACTGTAACCTTTCCCTCTCAGTAATCTTATCTGTCTGTAGAAAACCTGGAAATTGTTTGCCAAAGGCGAACAGCTAGTTTATTTTTAAGAATGTATTAGTGACACACCTGGTGAGTAACTGAAAGGAATCCTTGTCATTTCAAAGCCAATAAAGATGCGAATAGCTAGGATAGAAACACCTTGTGACATCGAGCTAAAACTAGAAGCTCGTAAAAAACTGCTTTTTAGGAACATGTCACTCATCTTACATTTGAAGTCTATTTTTAAGCCTGAAAGAACATAATATGGAATAGCTAGTAACTGAATAATAGTGGATAGTTACAGTCATAAAATACTTTATTCTGCTGTACTGCACAATGTTACAGTAATATACACGTATGTGTGAAAATAAGTGACGTAACATTTCAAAGAATCTGTTGATATTTACTCTGATTTTAACTGAGAGCTAAAATTGTCGCAATTGTTTTTGTCTGGTCTCTGTACAGACGGGAAATATTGCTTCATAATACCATAGCATTTATCAACATGTTTACAACAGCTTTTCAGGAAATTGTCGAGTACGACCACAAAAGCCAGCAGCACCTGACTGAGAAGGAAACTCTGAAGAGCCTTATTTTCGAACGCAAAGCTACGGCTTCCTGCTCGACCACGACGTGCCCTAGCGTTTCCGCCTCAGCCTGCTTGCCGCTCCTGTGCTCTCATTATATGAAGGTTACAACAACAGCTCCTGCTCATCCCTCCTGGAGGGGCTCTCATGCATGGCTGGGAGCCCAGTCTGCACGGGGGGGGAGCAGGAACATCAGCAGAGGTTTACAGTCGCTTCCCAGGCTTCCCAGAAGACAAGGCGCCTGAAGGCACACCGCCCCTGGGCTTGGGCATCTCTCCATAACCAAGCTGTCCACGGATACTGCGGCTTCTTTAGCCGTCTCTGCCCCCAGAATGAACATATCCTGGACAGTATTTTGGGGATTCACCCAACAAAGGCCCCCACTGGCAGAGGTGCTCATGAAGATTAACAAGATGCACTCATCGTGGGCAGTCAAGACCCATCATACTCACTGGTGTCGCTTTCAGGCAAGGTCACCCTGTTCTTCCTGGCTACAGTCCCACGGTTAGCCAGAGGCTCACCCCAAATCCCCCACTGGCACCTGCTTCAGCCTTTGTTTTTTCACAAATGATGTTTTCATTGTGGGCATCAAGATGTCTGTGATTCTCCATATTGTGTCTAAGTACATTTTGAGTTGTATACAAACAATGGCAGAACACAGCTTCCTTCAAAAAAAATACACAAAAATTGTATGAGGTACCCTACAATTGACATGTTATGTCTAAATGACGTTTTCCTCATTGTAGAAAAAGAATACACTATTTATTTATACAGCCAGGGCTTTTACTACGCAATATATCCTAATCCATCCAATTTCCATAACCAGCTATCTAGCATAAGGCTGCGATGTGCCTTTTTCGCCTGCCCAGGCCAGGAGATACTCTGACCAGAATGCCATTGCAAGTTTTGGAATTGATCCCTTAACCCAAGCGGCGAATAACCATCGCATTATACTTTATTAAATCAAATTCTGCTGGGGAAAAAAATGCGCCCTCCACTCAGTAGATGGCGGTACGACGTCAGTGTTTGAACAAATATAGTATATGAATAGTGCTGTGATTGGTTAAAACTTTGACCAATAGCAGTGCATCGATTTGGGTTCGTTTATGTCTCCGGTCCTTGCTGGTTGTAGGTTATTTTTAAATGGCAATGATAAGTTATAAATGTGTGACGAGTTGCTCTAGAAGAATACTTTCTGGAATATTAAATCTAGATGCTGTACGAACAAACAATATAAAGTCTCTACATGTAAATATGAAGCGGCCGTGTGTTGCTCTTTTGTCTCGGTACACATGTTGTGCTCCGCGGCATGATCAGTTCCATCCGGTGAATAATGTGCGGTGTTCAGGAAACCATAGATTTTACTGTGATACACAGGGTATCAAAGATGACAGGACCGCGCACAATAGAGACATAACGGGCTCTCCGGTCATGAGCTTTGCAGCGGATCCCCAAAATGACGATCTCAGGCGTAGTAAGTACATATCAGTCTATGGCAACTGATAAATAGTTGCATACATTTAATTACATTATGTGATAAAAAAAAGGCAAGCAAATTGACATCGCTATGGGTCATGTTGGACGTTTCTCAGAATGTCAGTATTTGAATATAATCTGTATTGATTATTTTAGTTCGGAGCTTCCATTAACAACAGCAAATTATAGTTGTGTGACATGAAACACGGATGAGGTTGGATTATGCATGCAAGTGATATTTTGTGCACTTTTCCCTTCTTTATTCCTGAGTGTGAGTTTTCCCTGTCTAACAGAGATCCCGCAGGCATTTAACATCGACGTCCTAGTGGCACTCCTCCGCCAGGAAAACGCCGTGGACATCTGTGTCATAAAAGTACCGAAATCGCTGAAGTACACCGATTACTTTGTGGTAGTCAGCGGCTCCTCAAGAAGACATCTCATAGCGATGGCAGAGTATGCAGTCAAAGTGGTAAGACTATTAGCTATTGCTGTTGTGTTGTCATCATCTCATTAGTGATATTACAGTGGATAACCTTGTCGGTTTTCCTGTTATAGCTGTTTGTACATTTTCATGTATGCGATTTTTTTTTATAATGCACTGTTTGTGTCCTTATCAGAGTGTTTTTAATTGTTATTTCATCAGTATTCAAACCTACACCCCATACTTGAAGCAGCAATACATATGTAGTTGTGAAGAAAGTGTGTATTACTTTCTAAACCTGAGTTTCCTCTGATCTTTTTGTATGTTTTATCATTTACAAGGAGTCTGTATAAACATGCATTGTTTGTTGGTACGTCTGACTTGTATACCTCTCTGGCACTTTGACAGTACAAAGCCCTCAAGCTGGATGCTGATCCCCATGTCATAATTGAAGGCAAGAATGCGGAGGACTGGATGTGCATCGATTTTGGTGAGTCTGTTTATCGCGACAGTCTGCTTTAGCTATTGCACAGATGTTTTATTTATATTTTGTCGAGAGCCCTAACCAATTGGTTTTCTCCTCAGGGCACACTGTGGTTCACTTCATGCTGCCTGAGACCAGAGAAGTATACGAGCTGGAGAAGCTGTGGACGCTGCGCTCGTTTGACGAGCAGTTGAGCTGTATCCCCCCCGAGATACTGCCCAAAGACTTCATCTATGATGATGAGGCCACCGATTGGCGCTCCAGTTTTGGAAACCTTGGGGAACAAGAACGGTTGTAGGCCGGCTGAGCAAAATCAGCACTGGAATTCTTTTGATCTCAGTTGTGAATGGCCCTTTTGTTGTTCTTAATTGAAGGTCAGTGAAATGTCCTTTTAAAGGTCATTTTTACTATGAAAGTAAGTGTACTTGTATATACAGATGACCACAAATTGTGGCTCAAAGTTCCAACCTGTTTTGAAGTCTTTCAATAGTTTTTTTTTTTTTGTAGCATTGCTTTAATTAATTAATTAAAATATAAGGTCATATACAGTATGGCATAATGCTTGATATTTAAAAAATAATGAATGTTGTCTTGACTGGTTGTATAATGTGTTTTAATAAAGACAACTTTTGGATGATTTGGTGAATTATGCTATTTTAGAAATGCTAATTTAAATTTTTTTTGCTGGCTACCTTGGGTACATGCAACTACTTTTTAAGAATTCATTGCTTTACACTTAAAACTAAATTTCATTCATTCATTTTTACATCATTTATAAATTAAGATAATATGAACGAGGCATAACTGTATCATTAAGCTTGTATGGCTCATATCAGATACAAGATGACTTTTGTGTTTTTGTGTTTTTTTTTTTCCCTCAACAGATGGCAGTAATATCTTTAGCTTTACAACCAGCCCAGTACGTTTTCTCTTCCTCTTCTACAGCCCACTTTGGAGTTTCATGAAAGAAATAATGCAGCCGGGTTTTATGATGAAACATAAGCTTGTACTAAGGAGATTTACTCAAAGTCATTAAAAGAAAATATCACTGGGAACAAGGGCGTTTCTAGCAGTTGAGAAAAATCTCGGGGCTAAGTCAAGTTTACCTGAGACTTGACATTTGTTTTTGAAAGCAGATTGGCATCAGGGCTAAAATACTCAGGGCTATAGCCCCGAGTGATTGGACCTAATGACGCCCATGATTGGGAATGATGGCATACTAAGCTCAGAAAAAAAATATTTTCTACTGACTGGTTTCACAAAAGGCAGCAGAATGTTTTCACACAGTACATGCATTTTGTGCTTCATCCTTCTATCGTCTACCACTTCTCCTGATTAAGATCATGCAGGGTCCTGGAGCCAATCCCAGGCAGCTGAAGCCATAATGCTTGGATGCACCCTAGATAAGATGTCAGTCCATCACCAAGCACAAACACTGCAAAACCTGTAACTAGATGTGTGAGGCAACAGTGCAACATGTGGAGCCACTTTTTGTGCTTTCTTTGTATTATAAATACATGATAGCCAGCCACTATGGATTAATGCTCTTCAAACTAATGTTGTATTGTGAGGATCAGTGGAGCGATGGAGTGCTGTGACAGATGATCTGACCCCCGCAATCTCCCGACCTCAACCCTATAGAGCCAGTGTGAAACGAGCTGGATCAAAGAGTAAGAATAAGGTAGCTAACTTGTGGCCAGAACATTGCATCGTTGCAGTATTTGATGTTACTTCATTGCTTGAAGCCTTTTATTTAATAACGTATATAAAAATAACAGCAAAAACAAAAGCACTAAAAGCATGTGTCCAGACTTTTGACTGGTACTGTATATCAGCATCGAGAAATGCATATAAATGTAGATTATTTACATCGAATAATGTATAATTGGTAAAAGTATATCATTTTTATTATAGTTTTTACATTCAGTTTCTATCCTTACCACAAACTTTCCTCATCAACAGTTAACATTTTTACGTTTAAGTGCTGTCTTCCAGGGTCGCCAGCTTTGGTCAGCTGACTGGGGTGAGATTTTCAGTCATATATACATGTACGTGTACGTAAACGTTTTATTACGTTGTAAATAGTGGGTAGGGGTTGCAAATTGTACCAAAGCTTTTAATGTAGCTAAGTTTAGATTTGTAATGCAATAATCTATATTGGCCACAAGATCTCATGCGAGAGTCACGCCAGATGCATGAGAGTTTGCAGCCTTGGTTTCCACGTCGACACACCTTTCATCTCGGTATCAGTAGCTGGGTTATCTATAACACATTACATGTGTTGCTCCTACGGAAGCGAAGAGGATCACAGCAGTTGCCGACTCTAATGCATAACCCAACCACCATATTTAAGATTGCATCGTTAGTTACGTTAAGCTGCAGTCACTGGGCAAACTCTCGCGATGCGCGCGACAGATATCGCGACTCAGTGCCCGCTATGCGCGCACCGCGAAGACCGCGCGACAGGTGGTCACGTGGTGCTTTGAGTTCGCGCTGCTGGTGAGTGTCGACGGTTAGTCGGATATAAATTAAACTGCAGGAAAAAAATGTTTTTTCTTTTATTATTACTGGCAATAGTTTAATACTTTCTAAGTGTGTAAAACATTGTTCGTGGTTTGTAGGTAGAGTATGACATAGGCATAATGAAGCATATCTAATAAATGTGCAAAAAGCGTTAGGTAGCTAATAATTTGTAAAGTAAAGCCTAAAAGGACCTTCTTGCATGCATTTAAATGGCACTGTTAATGTGATTAATGTAATGAGAATAAGGTCCCGAACCTTGCTAATGTATATCTGCAGTTTGCGTTTTAGTAACTTAAGCCGTTGAACATTTGTCTTACCTTGCGAATAGTCACGCTAATCGCCTCATTCTAGCGTACTACTGCTGTAGATAGAAATCTGTTACTTAAAAGTGTCAAACACTTATCTGTGGGTTAAAAACTCATACCACCTGCAGTACATTGTTCTTCAATTATTGTGATTGATGTGATTTGCTCTTCTGTTTAGCATGAAACTACAGCAATGGATAAAACTGTACCTGGGAAAAGTAAGTGAATCTGTCCTGCAGCTTTGACAGAAATGTCTGGCTTGGCTGGTTAATGAGACTGACTCGCCCTCTTTTCCTTCCAGTGGAGCTTGTGGGAGTCACACACGTGGTGGACGCCATTACATTTTGGGCTCAGGTTGGTAACCAAAGTGAACCCACCCTTGGTGGTGGGGGGGTGGTGTTGTTGCTTTGCTTTAAAGCCACTGAAGAAGATCAGGTTGGGTCCGGCGATAAAATCCACAGCCGAGCCCTGATACCCTTTTCAGAATGTCAGCGACGACCCCGCTGTGGAGAGGATGACCAGCGTTTTGTCGGCGAGATGCCCCACAGCTCGGAGGCTCACGGGGAATCCCTGTCCTCAGAAGGTAACCGGCCAATTAAATCGCTGGCGGACTTCGACCTGCGTTATAATGTGGTTCACGTTGGTAACCCAGTGATCGTTTTATACAGGTATATGGGGCACTGTTTTCAGAAGACCGATGCTGGTATAGGTGTAAGGTACAGCACCATGATGATGACAAGGTATGTTTATATTGGTAATTATTGTTAGATTTACATGGCTTTGTGTTAATTATGCTGTATTTAGCTGGATGCTGCTTGTGAATGATGCTGATCAGACAGGCTGTAAAATGTTTCTTTGTTTAGTTTACAGTGTGCTACATTGATTATGGTAATATGGAGCTTGTCAGCCGTTCATCCTTGGTGGAGCTTCCAGAAGACCTTCAAACGGGGTGTTTGGCTAAGAAGTACAGGTTTTGGGGCTTCCATGTAAACAGCGATGAGGACTCGCAGCATTTTGTACAGGTGACATGGGGGGTGGGGGTCTTATTGCGGAGAATCTGTCTAACCCGTTGACTGGCTTCCTCTTCTCACCAATTGGGAACTTTGCAATACTGCCCGTTCTGTTCCCAGGGAAAGATCTTCTTGCGCAACCTGATTTACGGCAAGAAATTACGGATTCAGAAGAAGTCGGTGTGCTTTGACGGCACCATCCTGGTCCACGCGTTTCAAGGGGACCTGGACATCGGAGAGGAGGTCATGAAGATGAAGTTCGCCAAACTCAGTATCCCCGGGTGCAGAGAGGGCTCTAACCCGACCTGGCAGGACCCCCTGGGGCCGTGGGGTCTGCGGACGCCAGAGCGCGCCTCTCAGGGGGACACTGTGCAGGCGGGCTCCCAAGTCCTCGTTCCCAAACCGCGTCCTGCCTTTCCAGAACATGTGCCTCAGGTGCTAAAGTAAGTGGAGCAGCAGTTGCATCAGCCCAACAAAAAAGCTGAGTAAACATAATGCTGTCACAGTATCAGGTTTTCGCTACACGATTATCATGACCAAAAGAATTCAGCGTAACGATACAATTGCGATATCCAGGGCTTACGGATTACAAACCCGAAACTAAACTAGATTTCAAATGAAAATAAAAAATAATATAAACTATTTTAAAAATCAGAACAATAAAAACCCCGACGCGAAATCATATGCGGGTATCTGTAGCTGCAATACAAATGTATTTTATTTTCATTTGTAGCTATCTTAGTCATCATAATCCTGTAGTGAGGAATCACAGAAATGCCATTAACATTATCAGTTAACCATTCTTCAAATTCACTAGCCATTTTTATCATTCTGATCATAGAGAGTAGAAATGGTATTTGCATACAATCATTGGTCCGATTGACTTCCTGCTACTTTTCCCCTGGCCAGTGAACGATCAGGGATTGTTTGCGTCACTGAGCGAAGCCTCTGCACAACAGGGTTGGCGGTATATCGCCTGTTAAGGAATGAATGACTCTATACCCCTGTGCCAAATGTTTCATATTTAGTCCAGTTATTGTTAAGAGCGTGAGAGTCCATTTAATATATTTTTGGTTGTGTGGTTGTATGTATGCATTATTTAGGATAGTATTAGGATAGCATTTAACATTACAATTCCAATGTCTGAATATTCTTAATTAAAAGTTCTTTGTACTTAGAAAGGGTGTACTTGCATTATTATGTTATTAGATTATTATGGCAGTGGTCTTTAAATTACAATATTTACTGCAATTATTTCTGGTACATTATATTGTCTGACAAAAGTAGTTATCATGACAGGCCTACAATACGCCTGTCATGACTAAACATCAGTATAGTGCCGGCATTCTGACAGATTTTGCTGGCTGTAAATACACTGGCACGCCCGTTATCTAATGCCCTGGATATCGTGTTTTTAGTGTTGTTGTAAATTCTTTTGGCAACGTTAATGGTATAGTGAAATTCTGATATTGTGACAGCCCTAATTATGACCAATAGTTGGTGCTATTTTGTGAGTCTCCGTAGTCTATGAAAATCAAGGAAGTACTTTAACACCCTTGTTGAATTTGGGCTTCAACAATTACACAACAAGTGTTAGAAGTTTTATTGTGATTGATGTGTATTCAGGGGAATGCAATGAAATTCTCATTGTGCATTCTCTCTATAACATTAGTGGGGGGTTCAGACAGTACAATAGTACATAAAAACACTAAATATAATAACATAGTGGAAGAGAGATGGAACGATACAAGGGAAGTGTAGAAAACCCATACAGTCTTAACTGGTTGTGGGACGGAGCTGATTGTAAAGAGGATGGAGATGCAGGGTGCAGCGAATGGCAAAGAATGTTAGGGTGTGACGACAACATTCATAGCCTTGATGAGAGGGAACACGCTTATGTGGAAATTTCATACACCAGTTTAATGATGTAGCTAGTGTTTATTTTAAATTGGCTTATCTTTGAGAAGCTGTTTTTCTTAACGAGACACGACTTATTTCCATGATGATTCAGGTAGTCATTTGCGATTGGTCAGGTATTCAGGTAATCATTTGCGATTGGTCAGGTATTCAGGTAATCATTTGCGATTGGTTATCAGTTTGTGCACAGGGTGGCCATTTCCAATGAAGGCCACAGGACTACATGCTTTAGTTTTTTTCTTTTTAAACTGATCCTTGCTTACAGGGAGAAGAGCACGACCACGGCCCTGCAGCCCGCAAGCCTGCTGAAGAAGAAGCTGGACCAGGAGCTTATGGAGGAGAATGAGCGGCTGAAGGAGGAGAAGAGCGCACAGCATCGCAGCGCCTTGCTCCTTGGGAAGGAGCTGACGGAGGCACAGACGGAGCTGCAGGTGACAGGACAGCTACACAGGATGAGCGCCTGGTTCAGAGAGGTTCAGAGCTGTTAGGGTGAACTCAGTGTAAAGTGAGGGTACTTAGTGAGCGAGAGTGACCTTATGAGCACAGTGTGAAGTGGGATGAGTGGTCTGACTCTCCGGGCTGATAATCTTCTGCCGGGAGCTCCTGTGGGTGTCGATGCAGTTTTTCAGGCTGATCGTCTTGTGTCTTTTGTGCAGAGGATGAAGGACAGCAGGATGAGGGATGCCATAGAGATACAGAAGCTGAAGGAGGACAACGGTGTTCTCCGGCAGAAGGCTGACGAGCTCGGGAAGCAGCTGCGGGACGTCCAGCAGGAGTTGCAGGTGGGGGTCCCTCGAGCTGCAGGTGGGGGTCCCTCGATGTGCAGGTGGGGGTCCCTCGAGCTGCAGGTGGGGGTCCCTCGAGGTGTAGGTGGGGGTCCCTCGAGGTGTAGGTGGGGGTCCCTCGAGGTGTAGGTGGGGGTCCCACGAGGTGCAGGTGGGGGTCCCACGAGGTGCAGGTGTGACTGAAAGCGATCGGAGTCAGAATCGAGATCCTGGTTCCGTTGCATCTTGTGCATGGTTAAGTCCCCTCATCCACCCAAAACTGCTGATTGTCTTCGTCAGGGGTGGCCAATCTTGTCCTCAAAGGGCGAGTGTGTGTCCAGGTTTTTTGGCTAGACCTTTAGGTCAGCTGTTCAAACCCAGGTGTGAGGACTCTTCAGCCAATTAGTCCTCTAATTAATAGTCTAATTATGGAGTTGCAGCAAAAACCCGCATACACAGCGGCCTGGATAAGATTGGCCACCCCTGGTCTACATCTTTCTGTTGAAGGTCATGCAACCAGAATCTTATAATGTAATGTGAAAAAGTACACATATGGAATTAATATTTAATTTGAAATGAAATGCTCCTCTCTGTCTGTGTTCTTCCTGATTCTGTTATTTTGGAGCTGGTTTTATGCTTGGAACTTGTAGATTTCATGTATCATTTTCCTGTTGACTAATAGAAACAGTGCAGCATGACACAGTGTCTCGTAGCCTCGCTGCTCCAGGGTCGCGGGTTCGATTAATACTACTTCCATGTTCTCGCCGTGTCTGCATTAGTCATAGTGTGTGTCCTGCACTGGACTGGCAAGCTGTCCTGGGTGTCCAAGCCTCCCTTGTGCTCACTGTAAGCCTCCCTTGTGCTCACTGTAAGCCGTACGCTGGCGGCCCCTCCTTGTGCAGTGATGCCACCACCGTGTTTTGCGCACACAGGTGACGAAGCAGCAGGTGACTGACAGCGTGGAGGTAGCAGACAAGCGTCTGGAGACGGCGGTAGGAGACAGGCTGGGCCAGTTGGCACAGAAGGTGGAGTCCTTAAGGGGTGTGAGGTACAGTCTCCAGCCCTTTCCCCTTTGTGGTGTGGTCTGTGTGCGGTCTGCGTGTGGTCTGCACCTATTAAATGGTCAGCTGTCTCTCTGCCTTTAATGTCTCTCTTCACACGTTTATTCTAAAAGCTCTCGTATCCGGAATTTAAGTAACTGGCATAATTCTAAAATATCAGTGCAAGTGCTCCTCGACTTTAAAGTAGTTACCGTAAATGCCTCTAAGTGCCATTAATTGAAACAAATAAATGAATAAAATTCACAGAAAAAAAAATGTACGATAGGGCTTAACACTGTGAGACGTTTAAGCTCGCAAACACTACAGCCTGGAAGTGTGGCTGCATGCATACTGCTGTTGTCTGGCAGGAGTAGGACGTATCATGCTGCAGATCGGTAGTCTGGGAACAGATCAAAAATTCTGGTGACTACTGAATGTGCATCTGTATCGCACCAGCGATAGATGTCGTGAGTTGAACTAATCATTCAAAATTTATGATAATGACACCGCTCTATTGAAACTAATGAAAAATAACAAAGGCAAGCATTCACGCATACAAAGTGGCACGCTTTACAGTCATTCTGCCAGAGTTTAACTGGCACTCTTGTGTTCTGTCAAATATCTGCTGTTGCTTTGTGCTAAAATCACTACAGTAATCATTAACATGTCTGTATAAAAGGATTAAAGTGTAAGAAATGCTACAATTAAGTGTTTCGCGAGTAACATTCAACCAATCTGGAAAATTCAGCTATCTGCCAGCGCTTTGGTCCCAACATTGCTGGACATGAGAGCTTTTACTCTAAGTGCTTTAACAACCTGGACAATCCCGTCCCCCAGAGAGGCGTGCGCCCGTGGCACCTACAGGGACAGCCTGCTGGAGGCCATCGACATAGTCGCACACAATGGCATCTCCTCTCCCGCATCTTTGGAAAAGCTGGAGGCTGTGTGGAGGGAATACGACCTGGCACAGGATATGGTGAAGGCCTGTCACAAGGTAAGCCGTCTCAACCCAAAATCATCAGAAAATGGGTGAAATATGCATAAAGGTTTAGTGACTGTACTGGTGTGAGCTCTCGTTTAACCGGCATGGGGGGGCATCATTGGAGTGAGACCTGGGGGGTTAATCCTCCCCCCAGGGGGATTGCGCAAACGCCCAGCCCGTCGTGCTTATGGAGCCAGGTGGACGGACAGGTGAATTAGTAAGTGTGTCATTTTTAGAGAATTTAAAAGCTTCTCTGAAGTGTTAAGTGCTGTAAATTGACTGTCAGAAGCTGCTGGAATTGAACTGGGATTTTATTTCTGTAAGTACCTACTTATGATCGTGTTAAAGTCTGTGCTGCACAATGCCAGTGTATAGATTGGGGGTAGGTAAAATTGATGTTAATCGGCAGAAATTAACTGACTGCTTTAATTGTGGTTTGCCAGAGAGAGGACCTGGAAGAATTGATCGAGAAGAGAAATGGTGTGAGGAGAATGTTGGCCGTGGCTGTGGATGACTTTATTCAGGAAGTGGACGGGCTGCCCATCAGCAAACGAATGGACACTCTTGAGGTGCTGAGGGGGCGGGGTTTGATGTTAGTGTCCAATCCCCTTTGACTTAGGACAACAGCATGTTAATCTGCATATTGTTTACAGTTCTGCATTCTGTGTTTGTACATTATCTGTAATCTGTGTCTCCCCTTCATAGGCAGTGGGTGCCTCTCTTACTACGGTGTTTGGTTCCTTCTCGATGGAGGAAGTCGGAGACGAGACCTTTGAACGGTTCAGACAGTGGAACAGTCAGAAACAGCAGGAGACCCAGTCTGTGAAGGAGGGGACTGACGAAACACTGAAATTCCTGTGTTCCTGGTTTGAGAAGGTGGTCAAGGTGTGTGAAACATGACATTAGGGTGCTGACTCACTCTGCCATTATGAATATTTTTTAAAGTTTAGTGATGAATTTAGCTTTAGCAAAAATAGACATGTATGATTTGGTTAACTAGGCAGGACAGCCATATTGTGTTTAATCAGAAGAGAATATTCTAGACTGCTGTACATGGAAAATAGGTTATAAATCGGTTATGTGTATATATGTACTGTCTTCATTGTTGTAAAAATGTACATTTGCACATCCTGCAAATATCATTTGCTTGGTGTTGTGGGATTCAATGTTTATTTTTGGTTCTCCCCATCTTCAGTTTTTCAGTCTATCCAGCGAGTCGCCCCCCCCCCTGAGTGTCACCGCCCCCCTGAGTGTCACCGCCATGGGCGTGGATGTCCTCCTGCAGAGGGCAGAGCTCAGCCTGTGCCAGGAGCTGGACGTCTCGCTCGCCGTGAGTTGTGGGTTGGATCACCTGCTTCCACGGCCCCTCACCCCACCCCCCACCCTCTAACAAATGTCAAAAACCTTAACTGTCCTCCTGTAGGAGCAGAACAGTCGGGACATGGAAATAGTGTCAAGCGCCTTTCACAGAGTAATGCAGAGGATCGGGAAGGAGCAGAGTCTTCTGAGGGCTGTACGGGAGAAATACCTTCTTAACTCGCAGGTGAGGGACCGACAGGAGCAGATATGTGTCCGCCACCATCTACAAGAACTTCAGAGCACCATGTAATATCTCAGTAATCTGTGTAAGCGTCCATTACTTATCGATGAATAGAACAGAACATATTGTTACTGTACACATACAGCGAAAGTGTGTGCTTCCCACCAAAGCTATAAAAGATAAAAAATAAACACAAAAATTAAATGGAAGTGAATTTAAAAACCGTACAGGTACTTTGCTGTCCAGGAGACACATAGACACAGCTTGGGGTCACAGTCCAGGGTGAACCAGCATGCAGCACCGCTGGAGTTGGGGGGGTTAAGGGTCTTGCTCACAGGTCCAATGGCAGCCTCAGCCTACTGGCCCTAGGATTTGATCCGGTAACCTTCTGGTCAGACACAATCATGCTGGTCCACACACCGCCTCCTCCATAATGTCTTCCTGTACTCTTCAGTTTCAGGAAGAGGTCCTCCGCTGGCAGGACGACACTCCAAAGGCCGACCAGCTGTTCTCCATCAAGAAGCGCATCAAGAACTTGAGGTCACAGCTGCGCTGGAGGCTGGTGGAGCAGGGCAGCCTGGAGGAGGTGATGTGGGGCGGGGGGGGCGGATTGTGAATTCTTTTGGCCACAGTAATCGTGTAGAGAAAATCTGATATTGTGACAGGCCGACGTCGGTGGACAATAACATCTCTGCCTGTGGTCTGATTCTCAAAGAGAAACTCCACAACCAAGATGGAGGTTTGAGGAAATTCTCATCTCTGAGCATTTTTGTCTGGATGTAAGGGCTGCAGCTTCCGCTCTGCTGTCGGCCTCTGCGGGCAGCCCAGAGCAAAGGAGGGTCCTGCTGTTCTCCTCTTAATGGACGGTTTTCGATAGATGGCTTCAGGGAACACATGCTGCTTACAGCTGTATGAATGGGCAGCACAAGGAGTCGTGCGGGTGACTTTGAATAGAAGAATAAGCTGCAGACCCAAGCTGTGCTCTTTGAGTTCAAGTGCTGGTTTTGTCCTAAAATAGCTGTTTTTTCCCGCTGCCTGGACCTTCTTACGAGAATTCGGGCACTCTTCAAAGTGGGGCTTATTAAAAGGGTTTGTCGTGACAAAGCTTAAGTGTATTTCCTGCCAGGCGTGAATTACGCCTTTTTCTGTAATCCCCTGGATTAGACTTGATTGGCGCTGACCATGTTTGGCGGTGTGTGTCTTTTATAAATACCTGATACCCGGTTATCCGTCCAGCTTCCATAACTTGCTTGTTTAGAGTCAGCGTGAGCCTGGAGTTTGTCACAGGGACAGCTGGACCTGAGGCAGGGAGACATCCAGTCCATCGCAGGGCATGTTCACACACATCATGGGCAAGATAGAGATGCCACTTAGGCTAACAGCATGTTGTTGGACTGAGGGAGGAGACTTGGGTCTGAACAGGAAATCCACACAAAGGAGAACATGCAAGCTCCTCACAGAGAGCATGGGGCAGGAGTCAGACCTCCAACCCTGGAAGTGTGAGGTTGCAGTGCTATCCCCTGAGATTTCATAGCTGGTCATGATGTTTCTACATGCCCCGGAGTAGGGGGTCTGATATTCATGTGGCTGTTTTTTTTTTTTTTTCTCAATTTCTTCTCAGGCAGAAGAGGTGGACCTCCCAGAGATTGAAAAGAAAAATACTGAGATTGAACTGACCAGGAATGCCCTTTTCCAGGAGATCGGCCTGGAGAAGGAGGAATATGTAAGAGTTTTGACCTTTTGACCAAGAGAAGATGCTTGAAGAAGATGTTTCTTGCATTCTAATTGTTGCTTGCCTTCTTAGACCTTTGTATATAAATAAACCTGAACCAAGTGATTTCTGGATCACATCACAGATTTTTTTGTAAAATAAATGATCAAATAAATGTTATCTCAGTAATTAGAACTGTTTAAATGTTACTCCATCTTCGCAAATAGCTGTAGATTAATCTTTTTGGTTGATTTGGGTGCCAGGCTGATCTTTGAAAACCATGGTTCTGCTTCATCCCGTGTTGTGTGAGATCCTGTGACAGTGAGTGTGTGGCTGGCTGCTGTTCCTGTGCAGAGAAAGCTGGCTGTTCTGGCCAGGGGGGGTTTTCCTGAGCTGCCGCTGCTCTACCACGACGCAGACCTCCTCAGCTTCATGGTGAGCCACCCCGCCAAGAATAACAAGCATTAATCAGGGAGAAGAGCCTGTGGCCGATCACTGGTGCACAAAACCCCACCCAGCAGTTCTCTCCCCTTACTAGTGATCCCCGTGCGGGAAGCACTCGTGCATAACACTGAGGATTCTGACCCGGCTCGGCTGTTGCAGAATTCTGAGGGGCTGGTGGTGAAGAGCCTTGACCGGGACCTTTTCGCCAGCGTGCCCCTGCGAGAACTGAGCTCCCGGAGACCCCTCGTGTGCACAGAGTTCCAGGGCCAGCAAGTTGTCCTTAAGGTGACAACCTGAGCAAATCCACCTTATTACTGTTGATATTCGGGGTTTATAATTTGGCCACTGGCTTGGTTCTGTACTTTTCAAAGCATACTATTTTTAATTTTCCAGTGTTCTGGACAGAGAAATTTAAAAAGTTTTGTTACTGAATTGTAGGGTTACTGTGTCGATGCCCAGTCAGAGGCCAGCACGGTGGAGAGAGCCACCCAGTACTACAGGGCAAGTATGTTTGGTGAGGAGCAGAAAGGACTGCTGCCCCTGCTGGCACTGTTCTTTGGCAAGGTAAGAAGGTGCATGTAGATCTATACCTTCCTACAGTCCGTTCATTTCTTTTTCCTCCCTCCAGAAATATGTCACAAGCTGATTGCGACATAATGAAGCCTCTTTATCCCGATAAAGCTACTCCATTTAAAATGCCAACGCTGCCTGTCTCCCTTTTAGTCCGACCCCATGGCCTACGTCATGGTGCCATACATTCCCTGTGGCATGTTGCAGCTTGTGCAGAACTCCAGCCCTCTTAACACTTCCGTGAGTCCTGAACCCCCCCACCCCACCCACCTGCCAGTCTTCCTGTATTTTGAGAGTTTCTCACATTTTGAAGGCCTGCCTCACCTGACAGGAAATCACGACCGTCATGAGGGGGGTGGTCCTGGGGCTGCGGACGCTGCACGGCTCTGGCGTCATCCATGGCTCGCTGCACCCCAGCAACGTGTTCGTCTTCGGGCGGGAGCAGGGGCTGCTGGGAGATTTCGATTTCACCAAGGACCCGGTGAGTGGCCCCCCCTGCTGCTCAGGGTCTTATTCACGTAAGACTCCCCCGAAGTTCCCGGCTCGGCATCAGCAGAGTCTGGGGGGGTTTGCCCTTTCTTTTCCCTGACACAGGGAGCCTCCCGTGACCTTTTCATTCTGCTGTCTTCCTGCACTGTACTTTCTGGTCCAAACTAGGACCAACGTGTTGCTGACCCCAGGATGCTGGCCGGGGCCCTCAGCCTGGTTGCCCCAGAGGTTGCCCAAGGAGAGCCCCCCTCCCCCGCCTGCGACATGTACGCTTTGGGCTGTCTGCTGTTGTGGGTAAGGCTTCAGATAACCTGCCAGCCATGTCATTCTGGAGATGCACAAATCCCTCTTCCATTGCCTGCTCTTTCCCCGTCTATGGGCAATATGACCTGTCAAGTAGCTGCTTAAAGTGTGAGGAAATCGGTTAACTTGTTTCATGGAGGACAGAGAGATTACTAAATGTTTTGTCCTTTCACAGCTGCACTTTCCAGAGGTCAAGTTTGCACTGAAGCCTGATGGATGCCTATCAGATACGAGTGAAATGAAATTGGTATGTAATCTGGTGGAATTGGGAGCAGCATGCACACATTGAATATTACAGCAAAGGAGGGGGGGGGCGTGTCTGTGGGCAGCACCCTGCGCTCCCCTTCAACGGTGGGGGTTCAAATCCCACTTAATCTCCTTCTTCTCCCCCAGGTTTCATTCAAATACTCCAGCTTAAGTGATTATGAAGGCATATGGGTGGAAACATATTTTTGTTGTGGTGCTTTTTAACCTCACCAACACCGTAACCTGTCCTTGTTAACAGGACCCGAGGCTCCGGATTCTGCTGCCCCAGCTTTTGTGTTCCTCTTCGCGAAGATTAGCGGCGTCTGATGTTCTGTCACACGATTACTTCTCCGGGCAATGATGTCTGGCGGTGGTCCTTCAGTCATAACATGATGAAGAGTTTGACAGTTGGAAATGCTCCAGTTCATTGCGAGGTTTTCCTTTTCGATTTCAAATTTTCCTGCAGATTGGAACAGTTTTTTTTTGTTCGAGAAATGCCACCAGTATTTGTTCCGTTTATTGGTCTGTGTTCTGACAGCTGTTTAAAACCAGTAAAGTGAGTTTTTCTCCTTAATCCAAGAATCTGCCCTGTATGTTGTTGCTCTGACAACGTCAATAAACACTAACAGCAAAAGAATTTCTCGGCAACTAATAAAATATGGACCTACAGTATAATTCATAGACTACAGGTCTTCTCCAAGTAAGAGTGATGGTAGGAATGATGCTTCAAAACTCATTGTTAATGGGTTTTTTTTTTTTTGCTTGTCAGTCAACCCATTTAGCCATTGTGTGATTGGCTATTTTATCATCTCATCTTCAGTTAAACCAATCAGTTATTGGCAATGTGAAGTGATTCTGCCCACTTGTTTTCCAAGCTTTTGATTCTGCCTCCTCCTAACTACAAACTTCAGAAGTTTATGCATTCAGACTCCAACCATTATTATTTCAATACCAAAAGTTGGCCACCATAAGGAACACAGTCAAATGGAACCTGTGTTTTTTTTATACTTTGGACACCAATAACTAATTTCATGCAATTTTTTTCTGAGCTGCTTTGTGCAACCTCTCTTCATAAAGTCTGTTTAGTTCACGGTGCCCCGTCTTCCACTGACTGAATGATAATGGAGCTGCCAGTGGAAATTGCAGGCTTCCATCACTTGGAAATTTCTCAAATTCTCCCCTTTAAAATGCTCCTCAGAAATAACTATTTTCTTTATCAGCTGAAAAGCTCACTGCCTTTCTAAGTTTAGAATTATGACATTTGCTTCCACGAGCCCTCCCCTTTTTATATAAAAAATGATCTGTGTATGTGTATTGGTTGAAAGGCTTAAATTATTAATAGTTTTTGATCGCTTTCCTTTTTCAGCTCTAAAAAAATGCAGGATGGTTTCAGTGCTTTTGAGAGTTACGCCTCTGGGCAAAAGCCTCTACTAAGTATGTAAATGTGAAGTGTTTACATCTGACCAGAAATTCACAGCCTTCTGATGTAACATTTGTTTGAAAAGTAATTAAAATTGATTTATTGTTTTGACATTAAGGCAATCCATAGGAATCGTTTCTGTAATGAAAACCTAGGCGTTTTGATGTAGTTTAATCAATGTTTTGCCTCATTGGTATATTCCTGTACTGTAATTTGAAGTGTGTTCTAAAATCATGCGATAAAAAATGGGGCAGGAAGATATTTGTTGCCTGTGGAAGGTTTCCTATAAAATATGAACAGCATGAATCAGTTTTGTGCAGCTGGAGGGAGCAGTTGGGCAGTGTGTTGCTCATCAAGTTCGGAACCTGCCCATGTTCAGGAGGTTGTGGGTTCAAAGCCCAAGACTTGGCAAAGTAATCATATCACCACTGGGCCTTTGAGCAAGGCCTTTGACTGCTTCAGGCATGGTAGACCCCACTCTGAACACAACGTTTCCTTATATGTAAGTCAGTGTAAATAAAGGAACACTTAGTATTGCTTACAGATAGAGAAACCTGAGGCATATTTTTCAAATGAAAATGTGTTTATGGGCAAAGATATCTGAAACAAATACAGTATTCCATCAGTTGTTGTATTTCTGGGGTTGATTTCCTACATTTAAAACACTGAAAGTCCGAATGCTTTTTGCAGACAGTTCAGCAATTAGACAATTACGACTGACGAAAAGCAGAATGAGATTGACCTGATGCAATGTGAATAACATCATAATTGAAATGTTTTATGGAACCAAAAAAGTCTGCTGTTTTCTCAGTTTTCCTGCTCAAAATACTAATTTTGTCTTAAACTCTTGGTTGATTACAGATTGTTTATCAGTACACTTGAATATACAATTCATATTGCCTCTATGTGTAACTATAGAAAATTAGCCAAACAATTAACTGAAAATGCCCATAATTATACAAGAAATCACACAGAACTGATAACGTAAGATTTTTTAAATCGGTCTGGACAAAAGAGCTTGAAACCCCCAAGGGGGCACAAGATTTATCCACAATTAGATGAAGGATTGCAGAAAGAATGAAAGGGGTGGGGGGTGCCGCTCCGATCAGAGAGAAAGCCACAAAAAAAATCAACAAATCTTATCTCTGGGCTTCCTCATTAGGTGCAAAGCTTTTCTGGTGTCAGGTTTTGTCAGCTCGTTTTAGTTGATGAGATGCTCAAGTACGCCTTCAAAGACTCATAGCACTGTGCTGACAGGGTGGGGTCCGCATCACTTCTGCGATGATGTCACTCTGAGGCAGAGCCATGTAGATCTAACACACGTGGTATCAGGCTGAAAGCAGCAGTTGCCCAAAATGGATCCATACAGTGAGTGTGAAGATGTAGCATATAATCACACAACAAATGCTTTAAAGTCCTCTTACGATCAGAACATAAAAAATTCATCTGAATTCAACATTACATGATAGATTCTCTTTGTTGTGGGGATCTGAGGACATTGAAGTACATGACAGATTATGTCCATGCAGATGACTGAAGGTGTTGGGTTAGTCATGGAGTTACAGTGACTCACTGAATCTTACTGATTTCCTATTTTAATCCTCTTAACAATTTTACTTTTTTCACTGCTGGGGGATTATGTATTCGCTGTTTTATAGGCTTAAAAAGAACGTACTGTATTATTCTACAGCAGCTCAAACATTCTCATTTACAATCAAATTTGTAGCTAATCACTTGCCCTTGTACAGGACTTGGCCAACACAAATTTGTTGATATTTTATTTTATTAGAATAGTATATGTATTGTTTCACTAACAATAATATGACATTTAGATTGACAAATTAAGGAATATGTTTACATTTGAGATTTAAATTCAAGAGCTTCAGCAAGTCCTCACTGAAGAGACCCACAAATGAAATAAAGATTAATCAATTCATTAATGGAATTACTTGGATAATATCCACTTACTAGGTAGTAATCTGTGTCACATCAACTCCTATAGCTTTGTTTGTCTTGCTGCCTTAGAAAGGGTTCAATATAGGGCTACAAGAATGATTCTTGGTCTTAGATGAATGTCTTTAGAGGAGAGCTTAGCTGAGCTACCAGGTATCACCAACACACTAAAGTCCCAGTAGTCAGTAATATAGCAGCAGATGATCATTTTCTGTAACTGGTGTCCTCTCTACACAAAGCACACACAGCGGCCCTTTGTGGATAAGATTGGCCACCCCTGAGTTAGAGGAATTGGTGTATAGATGCTGATTCATCTGACAAATAAGCCAAGAAATTATAATTGGCAAGCTTCTGATGCATTATTAAATATTTTTGTTTGTATGAATAAAAACACGTGTTAATATAAAAGCTGTATTGGGAAACTGAGTCTTATTAGTGAAATCAAGGACGACAATTTTTTGATTAGTGTAGGCTACGTATGTGCGCCGTCTCCTCGAAAACAAATTTAAAGACGTCCTTTGGGATAATAATGATGTACGCAGTAGCATCACGATCAGTGCAACGATCTCTCCATGTCTTTTATTTTGCAAAATACCGTGTATGCCTGTTTATTGCCCCCATTAAAAATCTCCTTGCTTAGAGTGGAAACGGTTTTGATCGATGTTGTTGGAAATGCAAACATGCTTGGCGTTATCTCTCAAAACAGTCAAGCAACTAACCGACAAGTGGCTTTGCGGGAAGGCTTTGTGAGAGCTAAATTGCATTCGGTGGAGTTTGATGGTGTCACCCAGCCCTTACCCCGGCGCGGGGCGGCGCTATATAATGGGGAGCGGCTGAAAGCTGCCAGAGCGCATCTGGGCGGCTTGGGGACGCGAAGGACGAGCTGCAAACTTGACACAGTAACGTCAGTCCTCCGAACTGCACGTGAGTAGGCTAAAGTATTAACTTCTATATCAAAAGTATTTATTGTTATCTTTGTAGTTACATTTTATTTTGTAATTATTGTACAAATGTATGTCACACATTATATTCCAAACCTAGTTTTATAAGCCAACTGATGTATAGTTTAACCAGAATATTATTAACAGAGCGATGATTAAAATATTCACTGCTCCAGATTGGCCCCACTTTCAAATTTTCAAGGTTTAACCTTTTACGTTTTAATTGTATCTAAAAAAAGAAAAGCGGTTGTATCGTCATTGCTAGTGTGGATACGTGAAGTATCCAAAGTTATGGAAGCAATATCCAACATCCACATTTTGCGTCACCTCATATTGTAGGTTAACAGGAGACAGGGTAAGAATGAGGTTTTAAAATCACACGCACGGATCATCAGGTACAGATACTCACTCTATCAGTTTGTTGAAATTAGTTCAGTTGGGCCTAAACACATTGATTTAAATGTACGTCTTAAATAAAGATTCCAAAATGTTTTGACAAAATGTACATACTTGTTCTGTAAGTTATAACACAACCCAATACTTTCAAAGGTGGTGCTCTAAAAAATGTTGCATCCATGTGAAATGTAAATCAATAAATTATACAGGGGGTAGAGTATGTGTGGGTAGGTGAATTTTATATAATGACTAGATTTCATTGTAACTGCATTATTCTAATACCATTGGAACGTTTAAACACACAGCCAAGGCTTTTAATATGGACACATTGTATTAGGAATACACCGGGATTTACATGCTCTTTTCCCATATGTACGGTTACCTGGTTATTAACCTGATTTGTAATATTACATTTTAAATAACCAACCTATTATAACAATTAAAGACCACAATGGGAGTACAATCTGGTGGTACTCTATAGTGGTCTGTTTTCTCAAGTAGTGTATTAAAAGGCTTCAAGTTTAAGGCTGCTATTACGGTCAATAGAACGTTCAGAACAAAGGAATAGCATAATCTGTTCATAATTAATATGGTATAATTTTCATTTTAATTGCCGTACTGTCTTGCTAAATAATTAGCAAACATGTAAAAATAAAGTGATCAAATCTGCTATTGCTGCGGCATATGACATATTTAGAAATGTACAAACTAATGTCTTAATTAACCTGGCGTGTTTTTTTTTCTTCAAGATGCATCTTCACATGGCCATGCGACTGAACCTCGTGGCTTTCTGCGCAGTTTACTGCGTCTGCGTGTTAGCTGACGCGTTCCCGTCCATACCAGCGCGCCCGGGTGAAAGCGCGCTCCCCAAAGACCTAACGAAGTACTATTCCGCACTAAGACACTATATCAACCTAATCACAAGACAGAGGTAGGTTCCGGGATAGCTGGGTACTAAAATATAATATCCGAAAAAAATGCTAGGTAAAAGTATACCTGCAAAACATTTTATATACTGCTGCAAAAGGCTAATTGTAGTTATTCATTTAAGTATATGAGTGGTCTATACACTCTCAGAAACAATGGTAAAAATTTGTTCCTTTGCTTATCGCCGGGGCTGTACCCTTGTAATTGTACCTTTTAAGGTACAGAAGTGGACTCTGACGAACATCCCAAAGGTACACACAGCATTAATGTACCATCAATGGTACAGAAACATTCCTCAGAGTCCACTTCTGTACCTTGAATGAGTACAGTTACAGCTAAGGGTACCATGGCAGATCTTTGAGGGTACAGTCCCAGTGACAATCAAAGCTAAAAAAAAATCTGAAAGTGTATAAGGGTTTCATTATAAAAGCTGATTTTTCCCTTAATCTGCCCCAAATTTACAGATATGGAAAAAGGTCCAGATTAGACACTCTGTTCCCGGAAGTGGTGGTGAAAGACGGAATAGAAAATAGCCCAGTGTTAAGGTAAAGGTTACGTGGGGTGTGATCATTTTTCATAATTGTGAGCAGACGGGGAAGGAATTTGAAATGACCTCTTTAGGGAAGTAACCACCAAAACTGAAGTATTTTGGCAAATTAATATTACCTATAACACTTAGGTTACCTCATCAAAATGTGTCCATTAAAAATGATTACGTATGGTCTTCCTTAACGTTTTGAATTTAATTTTGTACTTTTTCATCTCTTTAGATATGATCAACCGTTGGCATGGTGACATGACAGAAAAGATGTTGGCATCACTTTAAAAGGGTTCTTTTGAAAACGCAAAGTGTACCATGTAACTACAGCCCGAATATTTGCTGAAACCGCAACGGTTTAA